GTGTCCCCTGCATCGGCAGGCGGACTCTCAACCGCTGCGCCACCAGGGAAGCCCTAAATGCTACTTTTAACATAACATTATAACACTGGATCCAAGTTTTGACATATAGTCCTTTTAGATTATTTAAGAAGTGAGTTTAATTGGGTACCACTTAAAATTATAATTTAATGTTATAATAAAGGATGTATGAAATTTAGAGTTTTATTAACATAATACGAGCCTGTATCTTTATATTTGTGATAGCTCATCCTTGTTGAAAGTAGATGAGATAAAAATTAGCTATAAGTATATATTAGAAAATGAATAATTCATGAGTAAAACCTTTTAGCATTATATCTGTGGATAATCTGTAACATAAAATAATCTTTTTCAAAAATATTATGGTTCATTTTAGGCAAACACAATTCTTCCTCATTCACATAGCCATCATTTGCACTGCCTGCCAACCCTAATGAATATGGCTGCATCCTTTGATATCCCTAAGGAAAAGAGACTGTAAGTATCAGAGCTCTAGCAAAGCTTGTGCCTGTATATTTAATACCCACTTAGATGACCTTATCTTCTTAATAAGGAAGTAGTATATATAGGTTATGCCTGGGAATTATTTAGGGAAGCCTTTGGATAAGAGGAAAATTAACAGTTTTTAAAAATAATTTGTATTTTAGGCTACAGAGTATTTTAGTTTAGTAAAATCAACCTTTTCTAGCATGTTTCTGGACAATGACGTAAACTTTCTACCAGATCAGCAAAAATATTGGGATTGAGAGTATTTTGGACTGTTTTATGTTTTGAGCAACAGTTCAGTCTCTTTTTCAATGTCTGAATTATTTCAAATTAAAGCACAGAGACTAACAGTGTATTCTTTTGTATGTGTGGTTAAAAATGTTGGAAAAAGAAAGTTGGAATTTATATATTTAGGCTTCATTATTTTTTTTGTAATGTTTTGAAATGTAGTTCATTAGCTATTCAGAACTAGGAATTTTTGTTAAGTTATAATACATTTCTCAAAAGTTTAGTTAGCTTTATTAATTCAAAAGTACACATAAGGACCTCACTATAAATAAATAATACTTTATTAGCTTTAAATCTGTCAGTGAAAATACTATTATTTAACAGACTGAAGTTGTATTATAAACTGAGGGCATTAAGGACCATCAGTTCTGACTCTTAAGCTAACATCGCTAGTGGTGGCATTCAACTTTTATTTTAGTAGTTTCTTGATGGGAAAATGTACTTTCCCAAAGCCTGGTAGACCTGAACTCTCTGGGTCAGATTATGGCCATGGTATTTAGTGTTCATCAGGAATTCAAATTTACCTTCAAAATTCCAGTAATAATCTAAGAATGATTTTTTTAGCTTGGTAAGCTGTTTACTGATAAGTACTTGCTAATCTGGACACATCCTAAGGTTTTTAAATTTTAAATCTGATTTGTATTTACCAGAATTTCTTAAGTTGAGACTTGATCGCTACCAAATTCTAGAAAACTGTATTTTATGCACCACAAAAAGGGAATTTAAAATAATTTCTAGGGACTTCCCTGGTGGCACAATGGTTAAGAATCCACCTGCCAATGCAGGAGACACGGGTTCGATCCCTGGTCTGGGAAGATCCCACATGACACGGAGCAACTAAGCCCATGCACTTCGACTACTGAGCCTGCGCTCTAGAGCCCAGAAGCCACAACTACTCAGCCCGCATGCTGCAACTACTGAAGCCTGTGCACTTAGAGCCCGTGCTCTGCAACAAGGGAAGCCACAGCAGTAAGAGGCCTGTGCACTGTAATGAGGAGTAGCCCTCACTCGCCGCAACTAGAGAATGCCCGTGCACAGCAACGAAGACCCAACACAGCCAAAATAAATAATTAATTAATTTTCAAAATAAAATAATTTTTAAAAGGATCCCATTTACAGTTGCAGATTAGTGGGGAAAATAGAGACTGTTCAGTTGATACTGGAATCATTGGTTATCCAACCTCATAAACAAAAATCAATTTCATATGGATTAAGGACTTAAATGTGAAAAGCAGAGTTTTAAAACTTTAATAAGAAAGTAAGGTCACTAGGTTCTGACCTTGAGGAAGGAGTTCTTAAAACTAACATACCAAAAGTACCCACCACCATAGAAGAAAAGATTAGTAGGTATGTTTCATTGAATCTAAATAATTAGTGTTTCTTCATACAAATCAGCAGTGTTCTTGTTTTTTTTCTTTGTGGTTCCAAATTTGGTTAGATAATTTACTTTTTAGTAACACTCTCTAGCATGGATTTATGTAAATTTTAATAGAATAATCTACCAAAGTGGTCTCTTTAAAATTACGCTAGCCTTGTATTAATTGTACTAATTTTTTTCTCATTAGGCGAGCCAGTGCAGCCTTGAACTGTTTAAAACGCTTCCATGAAATGAAGAAACGAGGACCTAAGCCTTATAGCCTTCATTTAGATCACATTATTCAGAAAGCAATTGCAACACACCAGAAACGGGATCAGTATCTCCGAGTTCAGAAAGATATATTTGTTCTTAAGGTACTGATGTGAAGATGCAATTTTCAATTTAATTTCCTAATTCTTAACCACTGTATTTTAGTAGGCATACATGCTTGAGTTTGCAGTTTTATTCATGCATATGGATTTTCAGAAGGCTCCTAAGTTTTATAATGACTAGGCAGTGGAGCTGTGTTTTTCTAACTTTTTCAAGTTAGAGAATCTTGATAATCTTCCTTAAATGAAAAACCTTCCATTTTGTTTTTAAAATTTGAAGTTAGTTTTTTGATGTGAGGCCAATTTGTCTTAATTTTTCATATTACTTTCTGGTGATTTTAGGATACAGAGGAAGCTCTTTTAATGAACCTTAGAGACAGCCAAGTCCTTCAACATAAAGAGAATCTTGAATGGAATTGGAATCTTATAGGGACCATTCTTAAGGTATGATAGGATACTTCTTGGTAATGGCTTGATTGTTTTCATTTTCTTATTCATTGTACTTCATCATAATTATATGTTTAGGAATTGATAAATACATAATATAACGTATTATGTTTTTCTAGTGGCCAAATGTAAATCTAAGAAACTATAAAGATGAACAGTTGCACAGGTATGTAAGAACTGTTTTGCATTTAAAGAACTTAGATTTGAATTATATTATGCCTGATACCTACTAAAAGTAATAATTGATGTTTTAAAGATACATACAGACATTTTAATAGTTGGTATTCAGTAGGTACATATATATATTTTTATATATAGTTTGTATTTTACAACCAAAAAGCGTCAGTGAATTCTTTTTCTGGTTATTTACATTCTGGTTTTAGTTTTGGAACAAATGAAATACTTGAGATTAAAGTTTCTCAAATCGAGGAATATCAGCCATGTACTTATCTTAGCCCTAATGTATGAGAATGACATAAGGGCATAGTGTTTCCCTTTCGAAATGATGGCCATTTTAAATATTCCAATTCTACTTTTGAATCTGACTTTGAAGGGTTATTCATTCTTCTTCGTTTTTACACTCCTTGTAACCAACCACACCTTCCATAAAACATGCTAATGTTTATAGCATACACAGTGCTTCAGGATATTGTGCTCTTTTCTAGTACCCCATGCATTTTTACACCTTCTGAGTTTAGACTAACCAACCACCAGTGTTGATCTCATTAGATAAGAGGGGCTTTACTTCATGTTTTTGAGAAGCTTATATCATTGACATTATAATTGATTATATTCATCTACTCAGTGATACTTAATATCTGTATTAAGTTTTGAGAAATATATAGAACATAAGAATTACATTGGGGTAAACATAGCACTAACTTTTCAGACTCCTTGAGAACAGAGGTGAAGTCTCATTCAACTTTGTTTCTCCAACTTCTGGATCTGGCACCTTTATTAGATTGGATTGTAGTGCTCAAAATTAAATTGAACTAAATTCCATGGAAGCTTAGAACATATTGAAAATTATAACATTGAAATATCATCCATTGCTTTATAAATTCAGTTGCTTAAATTTTACCTGGAGCTTTTATGGTTGACTTTTTTGCCTAATTGTGAAAAACTGATAAAATCATAGTGTGGTAACATTTGCTTACAATTATCTAGTATAAGATTATTTTATAGAGCCATGGGACAAAGTTCTTGAGAAAGTACAGTAGAAAAAAATGTATATATTCTGGATTAAAAGAGAGTTGAAAAGAAAAAAAGACCTGATAGTAAAATAAAATGTGTGCATTTCAAAAGAAAAGAAAAAAAAGAATGAAAATTTATATCCAGGTGGCTTCCTCATATTTCTCCAACTGTATCTTCTAGCTATGTTATATCTGCATTTTTCCTGCTACCATCTTTCTTCTCCACTATTTCTGTCAGGCATCTCACCATAAAACTCTTATTTCACAAAAATATTTTTTATAATGAAGGGGATTTTTTGTTGTTTATTATGGTTGGTTTGTGTGTGGAATGTACCAAATGTGTTTATTAAATTTCTTGCCATTTAGCTCGATGGTTTAAACCCAAAACATATTCAAAACCTTATTATATCATAAGTTGTGGTTAAGATTCTAGAAGAATTATTTGGTTTATTACTTTGTTGCTGATTTTTTATTTTGATCTTAGGTTTGTACGAAGGCTACTTTATTTTTACAAGCCCAGCAGTAAATTATATGCCAATCTGGATCTGGATTTTGCCAAGTCCAAGCAGCTCACAGTTGTGGGCTGCCAGTTTACAGAATTTCTTCTTGAGTCTGAAGAGGTAATAAGCACTTTGTATATTTTCCAGAGTAAACGTTTTTCACTGAATTTGCCCCCTTCCTTTTATTTCTGAAGAGGCATAAGCTATATTTAGAAACATCGAGAATGAGACCAAACCTAGATTTTTATCCTGACTTAGTCACTAGCTATTTACGTGACTTTGGACAATTAATTTGCCTTCTAGAAGACCTGGTTTTCTCTTTGTAAGATGGAAAATAATACCATCTCATGCAGCACTGTGTTGAATGGGATTATAAACAACAGATACTCAGTGATTGATATCTGTTATTAGTAACTTCATCATTATCATTAAATCTTTTGGACTTTATTAGAGTTGATTTTTCTAATTGTAGGCACTAAGTCCTTTTCTAGCAATATCGTAATGTATTTGCTTTCAGGATGGGCAAGGATACTTAGAAGATCTAGTAAAGGATATTGTTCAGTGGCTCAATGCCTCGTCTGGCATGAAACCTGAAAGAAGTCTTCAAAATAATGGTTTATTGACTACTCTTAGTCAACACTACTTTTTATTTATTGGAACACTTTCTTGCCACCCTCATGGAGTCAAAATGCTGGAAAAATGCAGTGTATTTCAATGGTGAGCATTCCTAAATTCTGTTTCAGTATATACCTAAACTATTTTTAATGTGATCAGAAAGGGCATGCTTTTTAGTCTGTGTACCAGTGTTTGGTAAGTTTTTATTAAAATACAAAAAAATATTTTATTAGAGCTGTCTTGATGCTCTACTCTGATGCTTTTTTTTAAAATGTGATATTTATTAAGTGCTTTCTTTTAGAAATGCTTGTTTATTAGGAATTTAAAAATATTTGTTGAATTAATTAACCAATACAGTAAGTTCTAGTAACCTTCATTATTTTCGATCCTTATTTTAGTTTACTTAACCTTTGCTCCTTGAAAAACCAAGATCACTTGCTGAAACTGACTGTTTCAAGCTTGGACTATAGCAGAGATGGATTGGCTAGGGTCATACTTTCCAAAATCTTAACAGCAGCCACTGATGTGAGTATAACATAGGCAATAAAACTATATATTTCATAACCAGTTAATTCAGTATTTTATAAATTTTGGCCTAGTAAAACTAATTATAAATTCTAAGACTATGGGATGGAATTTTAGTTTACTTTAAAATTTTAGTTCCTCCAAAGAACTTGATACAGTACACATATTTTTATATAAAGGGAAAGAAGCAGCTAGATTGAAACAGAAGTATTTTACTTTACTTGGACTAAAAAAATATTCATATCAAGGGCTAGACCATCAATTCCAGTCTTTCTGCCCTTTTGAAGTAGCAGAACTGTCCCAAAACAAAGTTGAGTAGACCGTCCATAGTGAAGTTTGGGTGGTGGTTTCTTTCTTTCTTTTTTTTTTTTTAATGTTCTTATTTATCTTTATAGGCCTGCAGGCTGTATGCAACAAAACATTTAAGAGTATTATTGAGAGCTAATGTTGAATTCTTCAATAATTGGGGAATTGAATTACTAGTGACCCAGCTGCATGATAAAAACAAAACGATTTCTTCCGAAGCTCTTGATATTCTCGATGAAGCATGTGAAGACAAGGTAAAGTTTCATTATTTTATCATAAAACCCTTAGACATGAATTTTTATTAAAACTCAAATTTGATAGAAAATTATGTGAAATTATAATGTATATAATATAGTGGTTTTAGAAATAGAGAATTTACTATCTTCATGCAGTTATTAATTTGCCTAATAATTATTTCTTTTAGGCCAATCTCCATGCTCTTATTCAGATGAAGCCAGCTTTATCTCACCTTGGGGACAAGGGTTTGCTTCTCCTCCTGAGGTAAATTTTAAGAAAATTATTCTTATAGTTATGTTTTCTATTGTGTTCTCTCTGGCAGTGTGTATTAAAGCTGGATTCAAATCTGTAAAGGAAGCACTCAAAGAGTTTAGCTGTTAACTTCTGAAAGAGGCCTATTTTAGAATATTGGACATCCTTTAATACTGAAACTCTGTCTTTTCATTGTTTTTCTTAATGTTTCTTTTACATTTCCATGTGTCCTCATTCTTTTCATGACATTTTCTTTACTGTGGTTGGATTCATGTGTTTTTGCAAAGATTATGAAAATTTGTTTGTATTTGAAATTACAATGAATAATAATTGACCTTTTAGTTTTAGGAAGGAGCTGTTCTTAAAGTCTTTTACCACCTTAAACATATTTTCTTTGAGATGTTTTAGCTCCTTAAACATTTTTTGTGAGACTTAATGTTAAACTATTGCCTGTTTTAATTTACAGATTTCTCTCCATTCCAAAAGGGTTTTCCTATTTGAATGAAAGGGGTTATGTAGCAAAACAGTTGGAAAAGTGGCACAAGGTAACTTGCTATTGAATAAGTTTCAATTTGTATCTTTTTATCTTGGGAAACAGATTGTGAATTTAGAGAAATTTTAAAATATTGTCAGTATTTTGAAACTAAAAAAGTTAAATATTTAAAGATTCATGTGAAGTCAAGTCTTAAAATTCTGTATAATTATTTGTATTTATATTTGTCCACTTTTTAAACTATAGTTATTTTATAGAGAACTATTGATTTTGTGTAAATTCTGTTGAAATTTTGCTTTCAATTTAATTGATATAATCTATTGGTATCGTTTGTCAACCCTACTTACCATCATTTCTTTTATTCTTGGGTTCCTTTCACACCCCTTTTAAGCTGAAACTAAAACAATTTTCCTAAATGAAGATTAAAAAACAGTTCTACCAAGCAGATATAATCATCTAATTAAACTTCATTTTAAGGTGCACTTTTCATAAATCTGAGAGCAAACTTCTTGCTGTTGTATATAATAGGGAAATCTAGGAAGAAGGGAGTAGTTTGAAGGTATTAGTTAACTTCCTAGCTTTTCTTTAAGGTGGTCATCACTGTGACTTCAGTTTCATTTAATGCATTGTAAATTGTCAAAGCATCTTAGAAACTCATGGATTAATCAATCCTGATGTAAATGATTTTCAGATTTTCCATTATTTCAGTTCATTATTTATTGTTTATATTGAACCATGTTTCATAAGATATTCTCATTTTTAAAAAATACTTTAGCTATAGTTATAGTTATCAGAGGTGGGGTGTGGGGAGAGAGGGAATTGGATGAAGGCAGTCAAATGATACAAACTTCCAGTTATAAATAAGTACTAGGGATATAATGTACATAATAAATATAATTAATACAGCTGTATGTTATATATGAAAGTTGTCGAGAGAGTAAATCCTAGGAGTTCTTCTCACAAGGGAAAATTTTTTTTTATTTCTTTAATTTTGTATCTGTATGAGATGATGGATGTTCACTAAGCTTATTTTGATGATCCTTTCATGACGTGTGTAAGTCACATCATTATGCTTTACTCCTTAGACTTATACCGTGCTGTATGTCAATTATATCTCAATAAAACTGGAAGAAAAAAAGGGAAAAAATACTATAACTATGAACTGTACAGCTTCAGGCCTTTCAGTAATTGGTGAAGTCTTTAAGTAATTGGTGAATTAGAAAACTAAAATAAAGATGTGATAGTTTTGAACTTCCCTGGTGGTCCAGTGGTTAAGAATCCGCCTGCCAATGCAGGGGACATGGGTTTGATCCCTGGTCCGTGAAGAACCCACATGCTGTGGGGCAACTAAGCCCGTGCGCCACAACTACTGAGCCCGCACGCCGCAACTACTGAAGCTTGTGCACTCTGGGGCCCGCGTGCTGCAACTACTGAAGCCTGCATGCCTAGAGCCTATCCTTTGCAACAAGAGAAGCCACCGTAATGAGAAGCCCCGCACACTGCAATGAAGAGTAGCCCCCGCTGGCCACAACTAGAGAAGGCCCACGTGCAGCAGTGAAGCCCAGTGCAGCCAAAAAAAAAAAAAGAGAGAGAGAGATATGATAGTTTTATTTTCTAAATAGAAGATGTTTAAACTAGTTACCATAATAAGATTGGTCACCTTATTATACAAATTATATTAGGAAATTGCTCAGCACTTTCAGATAGTAGGTACAAAATGTTAACTGATATAACAAAATCATGTGTCATGTATAAGGAAACAGAAGAAGGGTTAATGATTCTGCCTTAGTGATTAGCAAAAAAATGTTAGGCTGAGGAGAGGATGTGATATTTGAAGTGGTCTTGAGGAGTAAATAGTCAAATTGGAAGAAGGATGTTCAAGGATGAGGGGGCAGAATTATAAATCTGTATAGGTTATTGAAACTTCACAGTCTTGTGAGGAAAGCCGTATTCCAGTGTGGTTGGGGCTAGGATAAGTGGGGTGTGGATGGAATGGTGAATTAGAACTAGATTGAATTAGAATTAGAACTAGGCTTTTATAAGCCACATTATGTCATACTAAGGGATTTCAATTTTGTAGGAAGTAGGGGGAATCTTTACAAGTATAAAGAATATTCATAGTCAGAACTATACTTTAGAAAAAGATCACAGTGTAGTAGCAGAAGTTTGATCATCAAAGGTAAAGAAATCTAGGAATACTGAGACCAGTTTAGAAGCAAAATTGATAAGAGCATGGACTTCAGTGGTGATTAGGTTCCATAGTCAGGGACACATTTTCTGGACATTTTTGAAATAAGATGGACAGGATTTGTGAACTGATTGGATGTAATGAATGAGGGGTCCCACTTGACACTTAAGGTTTCTGATTTGAATGACTGAATACATAATGGCTTACCATTAAAAGATTGTGATTACAAAAGGTGGTTTGCAGCAATGAGGATAATGAATTTTGAATAAGTTGAACTGGTATTGCCTGTTGTATGGCAAGTGAGAGTATCCAGAAAATATTTGGAAATGTGCATCTGGAGCTCAGATATGAGCTGAAGATAGAAGTTTGGGAGTTGTCAGTGAATCGTAGTAGTTGAAATCTGAATTGAGTGAGATCACCAAGGAAAATGTAAAAAACAAAGAAATAAAACTGGAAATGGCTCCCTGGAGAACACTCTGCTTTTTTTTTAATCTTTATGCTTTCTTTAATATATAACTTTATTTATTTTTAATTTTTGGCTACATTGGGTCTTCGCTGTTGTGTGCAGCCTTTCTCTAGTTGCAGAGAGCGGGGGCTACTCTTCTTTGCAGTGCGCGGGCTTCTCATTGTGGCGGCTTCTCTTGTTGTGGAGCATGGGCTCTAGGCGTGCGGGCTTCAGTAATTGAGGCACACGGGCTCAGTAGTTGTGGCTCACGGGCTCTAGAGCGCAGGCTCAGTAGTTGTGGCTCACAGGCTTAGTTGCTCTGTGGCATGTAGGATCGTCCCAGACCGGGGCTCGAACTCGTGTCAGGCGGATTCTTAACCACTGTGCCACCAGGGAAGCCCGAACACTCTGCCTTCATGAGGGTAGTAAAAGGACAGGGACACAGAGGAAAAAATTATCAGCGTGGCTTCACTAAAGGATGCTTCAGGAGGAAGAGGCCAGTGGTATATATTCTTGAGAGAGGTCAGGTAAGGTGAACACTAGAAAAAAAGCCTGTTGAAGGTGACCAGTCATTGGTGAATTTTGCTAGAGCAATTTCAGTAACAAGTTATAAACAGATGCTGAATTGCAGTTAGTTAGGCAGTAAATGTGAGATGTAAAAATAAAGACAGTATAGTCTACTCTCTCAAATTAGAGAAAGGGAGAAATGGAGGGGAACTAACTTAGTGATTGCCTACAGTTAAACTTAATGCCTTTCAAGTATTACCTCACTTAATCCTCACAGCAACCCTGTGAAATGTTTTTGTATTATTTCTATGTTGTGAATGAAAATGTGGAAGCTAAGATGAGTAAACTAATTTATCCTAGGTCACAGAGCTTGAAAATAACAGAGCAGGGGCACTTTTTGATTCCAAAGCCCATGCTCTTTCCACTATACTTGATTTCCTCCCAGTAGCTTGCAGCATGCCAAGATGAAGTTGAGACTGTCTCTTTTTCTAGGTAATAAAGCATCCAGGCCTGAATAATATTGAAAATTCACTCATTCAATTTAAAACTTTCATCCCTAGCCCAGGCTTGGTATAGACTTAGAAACCTGCAATGGAGGGAGGATATGGTTCATTTCATCACTCTGTTATTTATCTCCTCCCCATTTACCAGGTGCAAATTTGGAGCCTCTCCAGCTTTAGAGCAGGAGGAGGAGGAGGAGGAGGGGGTACAGGGTCATGGACAGTCTTACTCAACTGATGCAACTGTTATCTGGGGTTGTTAGCTTTGAGCGGGGCAGATTTCAGATGTTGATTCTTTTACTCGAGGGTTATGTTCATGAATTCCTCGAAGACCTCATTCTGGGGCTCTCTCATTTGCAGTTCCCTTGACTGGATCAGTGGCTCCTCTGGCTGCCTACTTACAATACCTCCTAGTAGCTAGAGGTTCACCCTCATTTGTGGTCTTCTTGCTCCTCCAGTAGGTCCTTTTTGGGCAGAATCCTCAAGATGATCCACATCAGAAACTCAGTGCATTTCATAGCTATAAACCATACCTCTCAACTTTGCTAGTGTTTTCCACATGGATACCACTGGTCAAAAGACTAACCAAGCAATACCATGTGACTGTAACTATTCCTGCATAAAGCTCAAAATACCTTCGTTAATTAGAATTTTTGTACTGAGATGTTCATGTATAGAGGAGCTTGTGGTAGTATAGTATATAGAGTAATATAGTGGTTGTAGTAGCAGTAGTAGAAATTTGGTATGCTCATAATATAATTAAAATCTTGTATTACTTTTGCAAAGTAAAGAACCTAAAAGAAAAGCAGGAAAAGTAAGTTTTTAGAGTCTCTAAGTAGGGAGTTAAGGTAACCCACCAAATTTAAGTAGTCTAAAATGGTTTAAAATGAAAAATGTCTCCTTGCCCCCTTTTTCTGTCTTTTCTGAAGATAATGTCTGTTAATATTTTGTATGCACTGAAAGATGTTTTGTACATCTATAAGTATATATTCTTCATATAAAAATACAAATGAATCCATTCACAGCTTTAAATAAAATTGTATTTAATTTTTTTGTTTAGCAGTATATCTAAGAGATCTTTTCAGAGCTGTGCATTTAGAGCTGTCTAATTCTCTTTAATGGCTGCATAGTAAATTATAGCAATGTACCCTAATTTTTATAATCACTCCTGTATTATGGGCATTTAGACTGTTTCCAACTTTTTTAGTTTTGTAAACAGTGTTTGTTGGATATTCTTGCATGTATATCTTTGCATACTTGTGCAGGTATATCTTTTGAACAAATTTCTAAAGTATAATTGTTGAGTCAAAAAGTATGTGAATGTAAAGTTTTGATAAATACTGCCAAATTGCTTTTCAGAGTTTCTACCAGTTCCTTCTAAACAGATTAAAGTGGAGATCTTTGCAATAAAGATGGTGGTGTGATTGACTGTCTTGGTTTAAAGAATTCAACTAGAAATTTTCCAAGTTTTAGTTGGAAATATGTTTTGCATTTGACCTGATTTAAAGAGAGAGAGATTGTTTCTTACCAAACGGTGCTAAAATGGTAGAACTCAGTTAATTTCCTTTTAAAATTTCTAGTGAATATCTTCAGGGTTTAATATTAAGAAGCTAGTTTTGGGACTTCCCTGGTGGCACAGTGGTTAAGAATCTGCCTGCCAATGCAGGGGACACGGGTTTGAGCCCTGGTCCGGGAATATTCCACATGCCGCGGAGCAACTAAGCCCGTGCGCCACAACTGCTGAGCCTGTGCTTTAGAGCCTGTGAGCCACAACTACTGAGGCTGCATGTCACACCTACCGAGGCCGCATGCCACAACTACCGAAGCCCTCATACCTAGAGCCCCTGCTCTGCAACAAGAGAAGCCACCGCAATGAGAAGCCCGCGCACTGCAACAAAGAGTAGTCCCCACTTGCCACAACTAGAGAAAGCCTGTGCGCAGCAACGAAGACCCAACACAGCCAAAAATAAACAAACAAATAAATAAAAAGCTGTTCCTTTTTTTTTTTTAATGGGGACAGGAATTCATATATGACAAAAAAATTTTTAGCTTACTTGTATGGACCCTAAAATATTAATTGAAAATGAGGAAAAGCGTATAAGCAGAAAGCTTATAGGTATGGATGTGATAGAACATTCGCATTCATAATACCTTGTTCTATCTACTCTTTTCAAAAATTTCTTAAATTTCCTGAACAGATGTTCATTTTTCTCATATTTATGCTTCCAAATATTTGTTAGGTACCTATTAAAAATTTAGTGAATGTTGTTATGATATATAATTAAAACAATATTATCTTCTAGGAATATAATTCAAAATATGTTGACTTGATTGAAGAACAACTTAATGAAGCACTTACTACTTACCGAAAGCCAATTGATGGTGACAACTATGTTCGTCGGAGTAACCAAAGGTATAGTCCAGTTAATGGAATAATTTATTGCTAGTCCTCAAACATAAAATTTAAAAGCAAATTATTATAAATCATTACTTTTTAAAGTTTTCTGAGTTGTTATTTTGTTTCTTACACTGACATAGGAAAAGTCTTTTTAAAGCACAGCATTGAATGTTCAAAAATTCAGTGGCATACATAACTTGAATACCCTAATATAGCATAGTGTTCAGATCCCTCCATTTCCTTACCCTAGTGTGTATTTCTTGTCTTAGTTCTCTTAGCATTACTCAGAGACCAGCTAAACTATTATTTTTCTAGAGGAATTCTCATGCCTTTCCACCTCCATATTTTTATTTATGCTGAGTGATTATGTCTAATTCTGTTTATCTAGTACTTTATTATAAGACATTTTTTAAAATTAGCTTATTTAAAATGAACCAATAGGTATATCAATCATTTTTATTATACTAGATTACAGCGTCCTCATGTCTACCTACCTGTACACCTTTACGGACAACTGGTACACCACAAAACAGGCTGTCATTTGTTGGAAGTACAGGTAAAAACATAATTTGCTTATTTTAAATAGCTACAGTAGTAGAAAAAACTTAGTATTGCTAAAGTATTATCTTTTCAGAAACTTCTCAAAAGCCTTCAGAAAGTCAGTGGCATAGTTGCTTTTAAAGCCATCCATCTTGTAATTGACTTAGCATTCTTTGTTTGCAGTGCTTAGAGATATTACTGGCTTGCATGCATTTCCCTGACTTGCATATGACCATTTGCATAGCTAATTTGTTATGTAGAGTAAGTAATCCAGTGAAGGTCTGAGTTCTTTCCTTTCTAGTTCATTGGGGAAGTTCATCTCCTTAGTAAAAACATATTGAAAAACTGAGTTTCTTCATTCCTCTTGTTGGGAAGTTAAACTGAACCTGAAACATATTCAGTTACCTTTGGTGAGCAACAAACTGAAAGTATCAGTTGCTGTTTGTTAGTGCCTCACTATTTTCATATATTTCATGTAATGTAAGGCTTAGACAAGCAGTTGTTTTTTGAGTATAGTATGCATGCCAGATTTTGGCTGGGAATATGTCTTGCTACTAGGTTTTTTCAATAAATGTAACCCTTTTCTTATTTTAAGAATGGTTATAGAAGTATTTGTGTGTGTTTCTGAACAATAGTAACCTAGTAATTTAGTTCCTTTTCATATCAGTGTTCATTTCAGGAGCAAAAGTTTTGCATAAATATACTCCACAGTTTCATGTATTTTTATATTGTCTGTGAAGACTATTGAGACTATATATTTTTTTAATTCACTGAAAATTTAAATGATTTTCTCAGTGTCATTACCTACATAGTATGATAAAGTCTAGGTGTTAATTTGTTATTTTCTGTCTAAAAGAAATAATGATCGTTAATGGCTAACATTTTTCTAATACTAAGTCCCAAGTACTTTGTTACACTTATGTAATAATTCATTAAATCATGAAACTTTATGAAACAGAGTTTAGGAAATCAAGACATGGGGAGATGAAGTAACTTGCTCAAGGCCACTTAGCTAATAAGTTCTAACTCTAGTATATGAATTCAGAGCCCATGTCCTAATGCTGCTTCTTAAGAAATTCGACATAAAATTATTTTAGGATTTTAAATATGCAGAAATTACTAAATACAAACCTTAAATTGGTTTTAAGATACAATAAGAAAATATGTTAAAGACATACTGTTAATCATATGGTATTTTTTTCCTCTCTCCAGAATATTATTACAGAACTCTGTCACAGTGTCCGTACACCAGATTTGGATAAATGGGAAGAAATTAAAAAACTGAAAGCATCTCTATGGGCCTTGGTTTGTAATAAACACTTCTGTAAGATCTTCTTAATTTTTAGATTTTACTCATTTTCCTGTTAATATTAAATAAATAAAAATAATTTTATTTGGAACGTGTTCTTAGATTAGTATTCTAAAACAAAGATTGTTCCTGCCCATTTAAATATTATTTTATGTTGGAAAATAAATGATTAAACTGTTAGTTTTCTTGCTGAGACAGATGGAACTTTTAATTCCTAAAGTTCCTCGTGTGAGGTTTTTTTTCACAGTTCTTTCTCTGTTATAGACATGGTTAAATTTTTTGTTTTTTGGGGTAGCTTTCCAAATCTCTTGAAGGAGTTAGTCTTGTAAATATATTTGATATGTGATTTCTTTTCTTTTAGGGAAATATTGGCTCATCAAATTGGGGTCTCAATTTGCTACAGGAAGAAAATGTGATTCCAGATATACTAAAACTTGCAAAACAGTGTGAAGTTCTTTCTGTCAGAGGGTGTGTCATTTAACTCAAATCTTTCTGAAGTATATATTTTTATTCACAGATGAGTGTGAGGGAAGAGTATTTTATGATTGCAGTTTTTCAGTGCATCAGGTTAAACATCTTAAGGAACTCCTTGTTTATTAATATTATTGATATTTTATTCTTATCATTGTAATATTGACATTTACCTTGCAGATAAACAGAGTATAGTGTGTCCAAATAATCTAGTAGTGCAAATATTCCACATTTATTTCAGAAAAGCTAATGTATATATATTTTTTCCCTGATCACAATATGTTCTTTTAGATTTTTTCCTTGTAATTAATATTTTTATTATGAAGGTTTTCGTGTTATTTTTAATGGCTATTAAAGAAAGCGCAAATGTACATATAGCAAACTAATATTTTATGGTTGCTTTAAGAAATCTCAGTTTGGAATTATAAACTGTCATTACTGTATCTTTTACTTACAGGACCTGTGTATATGTGCTTGGGCTCATAGCCAAAACCAAACAAGGCTGTGATATTCTAAAATGTCACAACTGGGATGCTGTAAGGCACAGTCGCAAACATCTGTGGCCAGTGGTTCCAGATGATGTAGAACAACTCTGTAATGAACTCTCATCTGTTCCAAGCACCCTGAGTTTGAACTCAGAGTCAACCAGCTCTAGACATAATAGTGAAAGTGAATCTGCGCCATCAAGTGAGTATTGTGACAGGGTCATAATAAAGTTAGCCGAAACTCACACTTGTGATATCGAAATTTAAATGAATTTTACATTCTTAATTTACTTTTCTCTGAGATAATTTGGCAGTAATAGCGTCTTGGAGAATGCATATCTTTTCACAACAGGGAGTATAGCTACCAGCCTACATTGTTCTCTCCCTTTGCTTTCTAAATAGGCCTTGGAAAAGGCTTACAGAGTTTACTTACAGAGTTAAATAATAAGCCATGTCCCAGAAGACCCATTCCCCTTTTTTGCAATTTCTAATAAGTAAATGTTTATTCATCTGCTTTCTTCATTTACCTAATTCTTTTGTTCATTTTTCAGGTATAGGGTTGTTGAACTAGAATATATTTAAGAGATATTATATTCATATACTCATCTTTGAAAGAAGAGCTAAATTTTAAAATTAGTGAAACTGTTAAAAGATGGAGTATCAAAAATCAATTAAATGAAAAATGGTTTGCGGTTTTAAGCCCTGTGCTAAATGCTACTAGGTGCAGAAAATTTAAGACACTTTTTTTTTTAAAGAAGATAGTGCAATATTTATCAAACCATATTTCACCAGATCTAAGATACCATAAATTATAATATGCACCGCTGTTTAAGAAAAAAAAATGCTGCCTACTGCAAGATGCATGCTGTTTTTAGAGATTTTAAGTGTGAAAAATGTGCATCTTAGAATTGGCAAAATATGGAAATACAGTGCAGTGTGCAAGTTTAAGATTTTATTTTGCCTTCTTTCAGAATATATTTGAAGTAATTTATAACTATTCAACAGAAAATTAAAAATAAAAATAGCTGTCACTAGGCACCTGGATTGAGTCTTTTATTAGAGGCCCTGAATTTAGATGAGTTTCTTAGTACCTAAGGCAAAGTGAGAAATAAATATAATTGGTTTAAACATGAATATAAAATGTTGTGACTCGGTTCTTTGTTAAGTATAGTTTGCTTAAGATTGGACATTCATTTCTTATAAGATTGATTTTTCTTGCCTATTGTGATTTGAGGAATAAACCACCAGGAATCTGTACCAACTGAGTAAATATCCAGGGTCAAGTCTCCTTTTTGCCTTTAATTTTATCTTGAATATTTGGAGGGTTTGGAAACTCACTGAGATAAAAGAAACTTTATGCAAGCTGTGACATAATGAGTTCTGTAGTTTTTCTTTGGAAATAACAGAAGATCATCATAATGACAAATTTTATATTTTATTCAAGAACAAATTCTGGGTCTCAAGGAAGCTCTTTTTATGTGGCTCATCAGTCTAACTCTTTATTTTTGAAAAATTTTTCCCCAGGTGACTATTAAACAATAATTTCCTGAATTATGTCACTAATAGTTACTATGATTATTTGTCCTTTTTTATCTGCTTTTATTAATCCTTTGATCATAGGTATGTTCATAATGGAGGATGAACGGTTTGGCAGCAGCTCTACTAGTACATTTTTCCTTGATATCAATGAAGATGCAGAGCCAGCATTTTATGATCGATCTGGACCTATGAAGGATAAAAATTCATTCCCTTTCTTTGCTTCTAGTAAACTTGTGAAGAATCGTATCTTAAATTCGCTTACTTTGCCTAATAAAAAACATCGTAGTAGCAGTGATCCAAAAGGAGGGAAACTGTCATCTGAACATAAGACAAGCAACAGGCGGATCAGAACGCTTACAGAGCCCAGTGTTGACTTTAATCATAGTGATGATTTCACACCCATATCCACAGTACAGAAAACATTACAATTAGAAACTTCATTTGTTGGGAATAAGCACATTGAAGACACTGGTAGTACTCCAAGTATTGGAGAGAATGACTTAAAATTCACCAAGAGTCTTGGTACAGAGAATCACAGAGAAAACACAAGCCGAGAGAGATTAGTTGTAGAAAGTTCAGCGAGCTCACATATGAAGATACGTAGCCAAAGTTTTAATACAGACACTACAACAAGTGGCATAAGTTCAATGAGCTCAAGTCCTTCACGAGAGACAGTAGGTGTAGATGCTACAACTGTGGACACTGACTGTGGAAGTATGAGTACTGTGGTAAGTACTAAAACTGTTAAGACAAGCCACTATTTGACGCCACAGTCTAACCATCTCTCTCTCTCTAAATCAAACTCAGTGTCCCTGGTGCCTCCAGGTTCTTCTCATACACTTCCTAGAAGAGCACAGTCCCTTAAAGCACCCTCTATTGCTACAATTAAAAGTCTAGCAGACTGTAACTTTAGTTACACAAGTTCTAGAGATGCCTTTGGCTACGCTACACTGAAAAGATTACAGCAGCAAAGAATGCATCCATCCTTATCTCATTCTGAAGCTTTGGCGTCTCCAGCAAAAGATGTGCTGTTTACTGATACCATCACCATGAAAGCCAACAGCTTTGAGTCCAGGTTAACACCAAGCAGGTGAGCAAATATACATTTTAAAATGAACAATAATGTTTGCATTTTAACAGACTTAAATGTAAAGCATTAGCCAGGTTTTACATCTACGTAAACCTCAGAACTGACCTGTTATAATTGTTTACTATAGTAGGCTATAAGCTCCTAGTTACCCGATATGATTTGAAATGGATTCTTGCAGCTGCGAGGGGGGAAAAGAAACTCCTTTAGGCCCTGAAAATAAACATATATGCTTTACAATGACACATAAGTCACAAGCTTTTTTTTATTTATTTCTCGCTTCTGCAAGGATCGATTTTAAAAAGAAGCATGTCGGGGGAATCAGGAGCTTAAGACCTACAATAACAAACAACCTTTTCAGGTAGGTCAATTTAAGGCTCCAAAAGTTGACTTTTTTTTTTTTAAGATAACTGAAAATTTCAGTATAATTCTTTTCAGTTTGAGTAGCTGTGATTATTAAGTAGGAACCAAATGAACATTAAATGAATTACTTGGCCCTCAGAATTCAGCAATAGCAGTTTGCCTGTGCTCAGGAGCATTTGGGAGATTTCTATGCCATATCTAAAGATTATATCAAGCTGGTCAAAGTAGTAGGTTTTACCTATAAAAGATATGCAGTGTTAAATTTTATTGTTGCAAAAATTTCTATACCTTCTTTTTTTGTTGGACCAAATACTTCTAAAAACTTTCTTTAGTTTTAGATTGTTCATTTTCATTTATTAAATGGATTAGTATTTGTCAAGTACTGAGACTAGTGCCTAGCACATATTAAGCACTCAATAAAAGTTAGCTGTTATCATCATCATCACTATTATTGTTGATAGTTATTTCTTTCATGTAATCCATTTGGCTCTTATATAACCAAATTCTTAAGTTATTAAGCAGTTTTGTTTCAGGAATGTTAACACATTTAGTAGAAGAGATCCCTTGTAGCAAATAAAAAATTATATTCCCTTTGGTAGAATTTCATAAATTATGCAGTAATGTCTTATCTACCTGACAGCCTCATCCCTCCCAACAGCTCACTAGTATAAACCTATGCAGTGAACTTCACAAATTTTATTCAAAGGAAGTACCTCTGACCCACATTCATAGTTTGTTGATGTTTATTCTAACAAGTTTGTATATCAGATTTTCAGGCCTATGGAAGCAACAGTTATAAGCTTCTACTGGTAGGGACACTGTGACAGGAAGGGAGAGCTGATAAAATTGGTGGCAAAGGACGAAACTTTTATACTACAACAAAGTATTTGGAAACTCAGAGACTACAGCAGCTAGTAGCATTCAGCCAGGGGCAGTAACGTAGCGCACCAAAATAAGCAGTAAGGGTACCACCATCTTAGAGCTCAGTACAATAACCAAAGTGCTGTTAACTCTGAACCACCCAGTTAGGGTTATTCTGTCTCACTGAAGCAGGCATTTTTATCTAAACTGATTAAATCACAGATAAAAAGTTTCATTGCTTAAATATTCATTAGAATAAGCCAGAAACAACTATTCCAAATCACTATTTCCTAATCAGTCTGGGTTCTTAGGATCTTATTTCCTGTATTCTCTGTTAAATCAAGAGAAGGGTATTTGGAAATCTTACTCCTGGAATAAAATGCCAAGTTATCAGCACTATAAAGGATTAATAGATGTTTTTAATTTCTTGGAAGGGGGAAAAAAAAAGAAAAAGCAGTCAAGAGAAACAGAAACAGCTGTACAGAGGCATGAGGCTTAACAAAAATCTCATGTTGGTCAAATCTGTCACTTATTCTTCAAACTGTGTTTAGTACTTAACTGTGTACTGGGTTCCATGGAGGAAAAAAATTGTGTAGACATTAGTCTTCCTATTCCCACTTGTTTCCTTTGGTTAGTTCAGAGAAAATGAAAATGATGGACGATAACTACACATTTACTGTAAAATAATAGTTTGGAATGTAGGCTAAGATTTTTTTTTTCTTATAAAATTAGAAGAGTAGTCATACTGATACCTATGGTATAATGGTTAGCATGAATCCAGCATTCTTAAAAACCATATCTTACGGAGTATTTCCTTGGCGCATAGCAGAAAAAACACTGAAGTAGGAATCCTTAATCTTGAGTTCTAATCCTGACAATGAATGAACTTGGAAAAAGTTCCATAAATTATGCTATAATTTCTCATCTGCTTGGAATTCAAAAGTTTTGCAAGCCTCATCAATGCAGAACAAACCCAGGCAAACCTCTCAGTTGTTTACCGTGGTACATCTGTATGGTAAAGTTCATGAATTTTGAAATATGTAGGCCTCAATTGCCTAATATAGTGGAGATTGGACTAGATCAGTGGTTTTAAGCTTTTTTTAAATGTCGCTTTTTAAGTAGAGAAACCTTTCTTCACAAAAACATTGCTATGGAAACCCAAAACGTAGAATATGTAAAAACAGAGCTATTCTGGTTGAAATAGGTATTGTGGAGGTGAGTATTCCAATAATTTCTTCCCCTTCACTCCAGTAGTCTTTGAAGAGTTCTGTGGAATCACAGAGGTATAACAGAGTACAATTTAAAAACTACTGACCTATTTTATAAAATTTGTAAATTTCAATTATGAGTGGTTTTTAGGTGGAAATTCATAGAAATTAGTGGGTTTTGCTATGATAATTTTAATAGCTACTATTTATAAAACATTATTTTGTGTTCTTTTCAAAATAATTCTTCATTTTAATATCAGGGTATGTTATTACATTTTAAATGACTTGAGTTTTCAAATAGCAGTATACATATAGTGTGGAACCTTGTGTACTGCCTTGTATATACAAAGCAGGTGTATGATAAATATCTTAGCATGTCTGTTGCATGAATAAAAATCTGTATAAGAAAGGTGTATCTTATGGAAATGTCATTATTCCATGTTATGTAATCACTGGTAAGGAATGCATTGAGGAAATATCAGTGCTTAGTATAAAGCTGTCTCTTGTAATATTTATATATGATACCATTTTTACTGTTTTTTTTTAGATGTGTACTTTATTTTAATTCTTGGCTGTGTTGGGTCTTTGTTGCTGCACACTGGCTTTTCTCTAGTTGTGGCGAGCGGGGGCTACCCTTTGTTGCAGTGCACAGGCTTCTCATTGTGGTGGCTTCTTTTGTTGCGGAGCACGGGCTCTAGGGTGCACGGGCTTCAGTCGTTGTGGCATGCAGGCTCTAGAGCTCAGGCTCAGTAGTTGTGGCGCACGGGCTTAGTTGCTCTGTGGCATTCCCCGACCAGGGATCAAACCCGTGTCCACTGCATTGGCAGGTGGATGTTTAACCACTGCATCACCAGGGAAGTCCCATTTTTACTGTCTTGTGTCTGTCTGCTGTGTTACAAAATCTTATGTTGATAAAGTAATTACCACACAAAGAATAAGTGATTATCCTTATTTTAATAAAAATAATCTTAAATAGAATTAGTAGACGTGCCCTTACTTGTATGATAGCAAATCTAGCAGTCTCAAATGGTTGTGAAGTTAGTTCTTGGATAATACCTGTTTTCTGAGGTCAGTTTTTTATTTTTATTTATTTTTTACTGCTAGATGTTGAATGTTATCTTAATTGCTCACCTTTTCACTTTTACCTGGGAGACCGTAACAGTTGTTTTTGGTCAACAGTCAACATTACTGACGACCTTTTATATATCAATTTATAAGAGAGAAATATTTTCAAGTATTCATATGTTCTCAGTAAATAAGATGGCACTGTTCAGTACTTGACTAGCTTCCTTTCTTTTATGAAGGTATGAAAATAAACTATAATTCTTTATGTGATTGCTGTAACAAATCAAAAAACTAATATAGTTTTTTTAATGGTATTATAGGTTCATGAAAGCTTTAAGTTATGCTTCGCTAGATAAAGAAGATTTATTAAGTCCTATTAACCAAAATACCCTGCAGCGATCCTCCTCAGTGAGGTCCATGGTGTCCAGTGCAACATATGGTAGCTCCGATGACTATATTGGTCTTGCTCTTCCAGTAGACATCAATGATATATTCCAGGTATCATAAATTCTATTGTTTTCTTATGAGTTGGTTTACGGTTTTTTTCATATTCTATAACTGCTTATGAGAAATTATAATTTAGAGCAAATACTAATTTGGGGGAAGGTGGTATTTTTAGGCAGTGTAATTTAAAGAAATTTTACCATGAGAATTATTTCACTTTTCTCAACTATTCTATACTCTTTTATTTAGCATCTCTAAGTCCCCAGCACATTATCCTTCTCCTCACACTAAATCAGCATCTTGTTTGATTTCTTTATCAGTATATTCTCTATAGAAATTTTAATGCCTAATCTTGCTTTTTAGTCACAATTGACTTATTCCTTATTGTTTTTTTTAAATGAGATATAACTGACATATAACATTGTGTAAGTTTGAAATGTACAATGTATTCCTTGTTTTATTTAATCCTTGATCCTATTTATCCCAAACATGGCAGCCACATGTTGTGCTAATCCCACGAAATACTCACAAATTTCTAGAAGGTAGATAGTACTAAAGAATACACATTTGTTTAGAAGTCTAAAAACATTTTAGATAAATTCTAAAATAATTATTTTAATATTCATTTAAGTCACCAAGAATATAGATAAGGACCTTAAGGGTTTTATGCTATTTTGTCAAGTTTTGGTGATTTAACCTTCTTCAGTATCTTTTCATTATAGGTTCATGTGCTATAGTAATTCTGTTTAAATTACATTTCATTTAATTTTGCTAGTATACATAAAGTGAATTTTTATAACAGGACTTACCATGACATATCTATTTTAGGTAAAGGATATTCCCTATTTTCAGGCAAAAAACATACCTCCACATGATGATCGAGGTGCAAGAGTGTTTGCCCCTGATGCAGGAGGTAATGCATGGTTTTTGTTCTCCTCTTTATACTAAAAAGAAAATTCTTTTCAGTAGCCCGACACTAAAAATTCAGGTATACTTACTTTGGGGTCAACTTAAAAAAATATAGCAAAATAATTGTTTGAGTCAATTTAAAATTAAACCACAGTATTTTTTTGTGAGAGACTTAAAGTGTTTTTCCAACTAAGTACCAAGCCTCTCAAGAAGACAAAAACCAGATCAGTTGCTTCTGTTTTAAACAAACAATACGTGAAAAAATTTTAACACTTACACTCATAGGTCTAAGCAACAGCTGTTTGGGGAAAGGAGAGAGAGAAAAATGTACTTATACATTACATGATCTCTCTTTGCTATGAGCTGTGGTATTTAAATTAATATATGCGTATCAGCCACAAATTTAAAGTTTTAAAATCTTGCTGATTTTTTCTTAACAAGGACCTCTTTAGACTCGGAATTATTACTTTTCTTTACACAAATATTAAGAATTGATTACACAAATATTAAGAATTGAAATGATACCTAATTGTATAATCTTAATTTTTTATTTTGTATTTAAAACCCCATATTAAAGTAATATAAGTATATCTGCTGATGTTAATTATTTTCATAATTTAAAGCAAATTATCCTGTTTTTCTCCCCAGTTAAGGTTAGATTTTGAATCATAAAAGGAGTTCTGGTTTTCTTCCCTAATTTCCCTTCTTTAAAATTTCACATAGTTTAAGGCACCTTGAAAGAGGTGTCATTGATACCATCTTCATCAGATTATGTTTTATATTTACTTTTGCACAGGTCTTCCATCTGGAACTGGAGGTCTTGTAAAAAACTCTTTTCACTTGCTACGACAGCAGATGAGTCTTACAGAAATAATGAATTCAATCCATTCAGATGCTTCTCTGTTTTTAGAAAGCACAGAAGACACTGGACTACAGGAACATACAGATGATAACTGCCTTTATTGTGTCTGTATTGAAATTCTGGGTTTCCAGCCCAGTAACCAACTGAGTGCAATATGTAGTCATTCAGGTGAGTGATTATGTCCTTCAAGATGAACCCACCTGCCTTTGAATCTGCTCCAGTCACAAGTCATCTCCCAGCCCTACTGATCATCCCTCTTACTCCATTCGCATTACCTCAGCCTTAGTATGGTCACTCAGTATCTCCCTGTGGGAGTGTTCGTAAGTTTGTCTCCAGTTTTTTCCCCTTCTGATTCATCTTTCATACTACTGCCTTGGATTAGGCTGTTGACAATTTTTTTTACTGCCTATTCAGGTCCAGCACACAAGACTCTGTGTGATCTGTCTGCTGTTTTTTTTACCATTCTTCTATCTTATAATTGATACACCGCTACTGACTAGATGTTTTTTGAACAGACTGTGCTCTTTTTCATGGCTCTAGGCATGAAGAGTGTTTTCCCTACTGTTCCCTCTTGCGCCTTCTCCTCCTCACACACATGCAAGCTCACACACAGTCCATTTGGCAAGCCCACCTCATCCTCAGAGTTGGGGCTGTTTTATCTTCAAAGCTTTCTATGACCCTCTTAGTAATATGTTGACACTTCTTCCTCTTTACTTTCATTGCTCTTTGTACATAGATCTCTTATGATAATTATTGCTTGGTTGTTTTTTTCCCTTCTACTCAATAAGTTCCTTCAAGGTATGGTCTGTCATGCCTTTTCATTTTTATTTTCTAATCCTCAGCTGCGTACTGCTTTATATACTAGGCACTCAATATTTTTTTGGTGAGGGAGTGAATGAGTCAGATCCAGATTCAGCTTTTTTATAAATATGTGTTTAAAGTATTACTGTAGATAGCTTTTCTTGGTGAATATCACTTAGCCACCCTCAAAAAAATCTAGTGATAACCAAAGTTCTCCGGGTCATTCATCCACGTTTCTCCATGGCATCCTGATTCAGAACTTCCCAACTGATGGGTTGCGGCACACTGTTGTACCACATCCACAAATAGCATATGGATGTGCTGAGAGATTAATCCCCTCCATGGTTCCATGCCCCAATCGGGCCTGGGTTTGACAAACCCTTGGACTAGGCACTTACCACTGTGAACAGTCCTGTCCAGGGACCCAGAGTGCTATAATTATTTTCATTTTCTGTGAGTGAAAGGTTTGGGCATTATTGTTCTGATGTATTGTACACAGTAAAGAAGATGCTATTTAAAATCATTTGTCTATACATTGTTTATGATATTTTAGTTCTTCTAAGTTTTGTTTCTTCATTTACTCATTCAACAAATACTTATAAAGCACTTATTGTGGAGTTTTGCTATGTAAGTGTTTTCTCTTTATTTATCAAACAAGAAATAGGGAAGCCAGCTCCCTAATTACCCAGTCACAAGACAGTCCCAGCTAGTTCTAATCCATTTGTGATTACTGAGCTAGTAATCAAGTGGCATCACATCAAGTGTGGGACTTGTGGAAGACTTGCTGCAGTCAGCAAGGCTCTCACCTTGGCACAGGATCAGAACCCCTCCACCTGTTGTTCTAGTGATATGAAGTGGGGAGGAAAATAACTCTTAATTGGGAAGTGATTACAGTTTACTATTGATACCCCTCTCAGAGGTATGAAGGGAGGCAGGCTAATTGTTAAAAAGTCACTGAACCTCTATGGATTTATGCATTCAACTTAATATTTATTACATCACTACTGTGGATCAGGCATTAAACTAGATGCTAGGAAAACAATTGAGAGAGAGAAAAATAGAAAGATATTATTCTTACACTCTTTGAGCTTTAATCCAATGGAGAAGGAAATGGATTGACTGACCACTCGATCAATCAGTACACAAATATTAATATAATACTGCATTTGTAACAAGCGCCATCAAGGATAGGTACATGGTATTAACAAAGGAATATAACCAAGTAGGCAGATCAAAGAAGAGACTTCTGAAGAATTGCTTTTGAGCTGTGGTTGAAAGAATGAATAGAACCTAAGTGAAGACTGGAGTATAGAGAATTTTGAGAGAGAGGAAGCAGCATGAGCAAAGGTCTTCTCTGATGGGAGCAAGTATGGGAAGTAGAAAGGACTAAAAAGACACCTGTGGGAATGGAGCTCAGAAAGCAAAGGGAGAGGAAATACAGGATCAGCCTAGAAAAACGGGTAGGGACCAAGGCCTGCAGAGCCCTTCCTACCCAAAGTGTGGTCAGCAGACCAGCAGCATCAGCATCACCTGAGCACTTATTAGAAATGCAGACTCTGCCCCACACGCAGAATCAGAATCAGCATTTTAACAAGATGCCCAGGTTACCCATGTACACATTAATGTTTGAGAAGCACTGGTATCAGCCATATTAAGTATTTTGTGTATCAGAAAGGAGACGTCTTTATTTTCCATGGCAGATAATTAAAAAATAGTTCCTATATTATTTTTTTAAATTGAAGTATAGATAATTTACAATATTTGTGTTACTTTCAAGTGTACAGCAAAGTGATTCAGTTGTGTGTGTGTATGTATATTCTCTTCTAGATTCTTTTCCATCGTAGGTTATTACAAGATACTGAATATAGTTCGCTATGCTATACAGTAGGACCTTGTTTACCTATTTTATATATGATAGTGTGTATATATTAATCCCAAACTCCTAATTTATCCCCCCCATCCCCTTTTGTAACCATTGTTTGTTTTCTATGTCTGTGAGTCTATTTCTGTTTTGTAAATAAGTTCATTTGTATCATTTTTAGATTCCACATATAAGTGGTACCATATATTTGTCTTTCTCTTTCTGACTTAATATGATAATCTCTGGGTCCATCCATGTTGCTGCAAATGGCATTATTTCATTCTTTTTCATGGCTGAGTAATATTCCATCTTCTTTATCCATTCATCTCTTGATGCACATTTAGGTTGCTTCCATGTCTTGGCTATTGTACATAGTTCTGCTGTGAACATTGGGGTGCATGTATCTTTTCCAATTAGAGTTTTCTCTGGATATATGCCCAGGAGTGGGATTGCAGGATCACATGGTGACTCTGTTTTTAGTTTTTTAAGGAACCTCCATACCGTTCTCCATAGTGGCTGCACCAATTTACATTCTCACCAACAATGTAGGAGCATTCCTATTTCTTCACACCGTCTCCAGCATTTACTGTTTGTAGACTTTTTAATGATGGCCATTCTGACTGGTGTGAGGTGATACCTTGTAGTTTTGATTTGCATTTCTCTAATAATTAGTGATATTAATGTGCCTGTTGGCCTTTTCATGGCCATCTATATGTCTTCTTTGGAGAAATGTTTATTTAGGTCTTCTGCCCATTTTTTGATTGGGTTGTTTGGGTTTTTTTTTTTTGATACTGAGCTGTATGAGTTGTTTGTATATTTTGGAAATTAATCACCTGTCAGTAGCATTGTTTGCAAATATTTTCTCGCAGTCCATAAGTTGTCATTTTGTTTATGGGGTGTTTTGTTTTGTTTTGTTTGTTTTGTTTTTTGCTGTGCAGAAGCTTTTAAGTTTAATTAGGTTTATTTTTGTTTTTATTTCAGTTACTTTAGGAGACAGATCCAAAATATACTACTGCAGTTTATGTCAAAGAGTGTTGTGCCTCTGTTTTCTTCTAGGAGTTTAGGTCTTTAATCCATTTTGTGTTATTTTTGTATATGGTGCCAGGGAATGTTCTAATTTCATTCCTTTACATGTAGCTGTCCAGTTTTTTCAGCACCACTTATTGAAGAGACTTTCTTTTCCCCATTGTATATTCTTGCCTTCTTTCTCATAGATGAATTGACCATAAGTGCATGGGTTTATTTCTGGGCTCTCTATTCTGTTTCCTTTGTCTATATGTTATATTTCTGTTTTTGTGCCAGTACCATATTGTTTTGATTACTGTAGCTTTGTAGTTATAGTCTGAAGTTGTCCCTCTACTATGTAATGATCATTTTAAAGGGATGTCAGGACTTGAACACAAGACTTTTCATCCTTTGAAACTTTCAGTCTGGTGGTAGTGTTGGTAGTGGTAGTTGTTCAAAAAATGTTAAAGCTCAGTGGAAAGGCTATTAGGATATTTCCTAACATTTTATTCTGTGTCTACCACCTTCACAGATACTTGTGCATTGTATTGTTTAGTGTGCAAGGCAACATGTTGGCCTTTCAACATTTAGTATTATATGTTTCTTTTGGGTCCACTTTTATGTATACCACCACATTTGCCCTAGTGTAGCTAACCAACTGAGTGGGAAACCTTCTAAGTGTTTTAGACCAGTTCATCTGTGAAAGAGAGAGCACTGGGAAAAAAAAATCAGCCAACTATAAAAGATAATGGCAAGAGATCAGTTTGAATGTCTAGGTTATTAAACTGATAAATTTGTGAGGAGTGGGTAGAAACTACATGGGGTAGGGGAGGGCCCTAAAGAGACAGTGGTGGTTTTCAAAATTATTTTAGCTGCAAAACCCATGTTTCAATCAAAATCTATACAAAAGCTCAGTGGTATGCAGATGATGATGTAAGGGGAACAGTGGGGTGGCACCCCATCTACTAGCCTTGCCCGAGTATAAAATTGAGGGTAGAGGAGGCTAGGAAATGCCAGGGCTTCAAGAAACACTGAAGACCCCTGGTGTAAACATAGAAGAGTGTGAGTTTTGGTATCAAGGAGACTTAGGCTCAAAGCCAAACTTTTCCATCTTACTAGTTATCTGATCTTGGGCAATTTACTTAGTTTCACTGAGCTTTACTTTTAATTTTTTCTTAAATCTCTAAATGGGAATAATGATACCTGCCTTATGGTGTGGTTTTGGTACTTACTAACATGAAAGATTAACATTCAGTAGGCTCTCCGTTAATGGTAACTCACACTAAGTTGTTTATGTTAGAAATAATATTCTTTCATAAATTCTGATAGGTCAGTTAGAATGATCTCCTTGTTCATTTCATTTTACATCCCTGCTGCCAAGGGGAACTGGTGATCAGGTGCGTATATCTACCAGAGACAGAGCTCCTCACAGAAATTCTTAATGTTTTTCATAAAGAATTATTTCAGCATTTCAGATAAGCTATTTGGCGACTTGACTACTTTCTGATAGGAAAAATTTAGCTTATGATTTTTCTGAATTAACCCATATGGACTTGCGTAATTTTTTTTTTTTTTTTTTTTTTTCTTGCGTTATGCGGGCCTCTCACTGCTGTGGCCTCTCCCATTTGCGGAGCACAGGCTCCGGACGCGCAGGCTGAGCGGCCATGGCTCACGGGCCCAGCCGCTCCGCGGCACGTGGGATCCTCCCGAAACGGGGCACGAACCCGCGTCTCCTGCATCGGCAGGCGGACTCTCAAGCACTGCGCCACCAGGGAAGCCCTGGACTTATGTAATTTTTTGCTTAGAGCTTTTTGTTCTTTCCCACATATAGTGGCTGGAGTCAGCCTTATGCCCAGATACAGGGAATAAAGAAGGTATCCAGTTTCTTAGAGTCTGGTCTGTCCTATGCTTCATGTCTCCATTTTTAATTAAAAGATAAAATAAAGCTGAGCTAGAATATTGTTAATTAAAAAGAGAGGAAGCAGTAAAAGCAAACAACTACAGTGAAGAAGCTAAACATCAATCACATAGATAAAATGGTTCAGTTTATGGACATAGTGCTTCATCCAAATTACAAATAATCTTGAAATAAAATGTGTTGAGTAAAAGTATGAGTATCATTGCATTGAATACTTTTTAAGAGTAGAAAATAAAGTTCCCTAAAAGTCAGTATCATCAATATAGTATGCACAGTTTTGCCTTCAGCAGAGTCCTAGACATTACCTTCCATGCATAAGAAGGAGGAGGCCAACTAGCTGGTCCTTTCCCAGTTTCAAGAAGTTTTGGTTCTCCTTATCCTGCCAGCTTATAAATAGTGCCTATATTCTACCCACATGTTCTCTGAAGTTTCCATTTAGCACATGTAATTTCATTAAAAAATTTTATTCATATGGTTTATAGCAGGTTTCACACAAAAAAATACCCCATGTAGTAAAAGCCTTCTGTTATCACTATTAGGATGCTTTTTCACATCTTCCAATGGGAGAAACGAATTCTTTTGGCCTGGCTTAGTTAGACTTCATGATTTTTTTTTTTTTTTTTTTAATGAGAATGAATGATATCTTTAGAAATAAGATGTGGTTGCAACAGGTTAGAAATGTTAGGAGTCATCACTGGTTGAAGATGAGGCTGAAATGAATTAGTTTATAACTTTTCAGAAACATGTTGATTAAAAGAAGTATAATTTTCTTATTGTTCCTTGCACTGGAATATTTTGTCATTTTACTCCCTGGGAAGCTCATCAACTGAGTCTAAAATAACATAGTCATCTCTTACCTGGTTATTCAGCATTGCTGGTTTTTAAGTACATCTTTAGTTCTCAGATCTTTTGGCAGTAGTTTTATATTTTAAATCAATGTATAATTTAAGTACCATACATTACTTTTAAGTGCCTGACAGATGCATGATTTCCTTAATATTAAAACTATGCTAAATTGATTTTCTGAGGAACCAAAGCATATTCCGCTTAGTACTATGTAAATATTAATCTTAGGAAGTGCTTAAAGATGAGATGAGGTGGTGATATCTATTCTGTTGAAAACAGCATAGGGAGAGGTAGTGTGTGTTTACATTGGTCTAGTTTCCTGGACTTTCTGAAAAGCTTTTTTAAAAGCTCTTTTTAATACTCTGACAATGTGTTGTAGTGGAAAGAGGACTGAACTAGCTATCAAGAGGTCTCACCTTCTGCCTGAGTGTGTCTCTTCTCTCTCAATCTCTTTTGTAGCTACTGAGGTTGTATGATTTTCTGGGTTGCCCAATGTTACTTCCTAAAAGGATAATCAAAGACTTTCTGATTTCCATTTGCTCTAATCACTTCAAGTGCTCAGGAAATTTTTAAATAAAAAATATTGATGTCATTTTAACAGCACTAAGATGTTTGGTTGACCTTAAAATTCCATCTAGGAGTAAACCTTAGCAATGCATGGGTAGTATAGTAAATTTAACTCTAAGGAAGGAACTGATAAGCCCAGGGAACTGTGATTCTAACATTGGTAATTATTAAATGGTGGGAACAACAAGTGATAGAATAATAGATACAGTATAATCCCACTTATACACCAAAAGAGCAAGAAAGAGAAATTTAAAATAGCAAATATCTGAATTTTTATATATTTAAGAGAGGGGTATTTAGTTTGGGGGTAGGAGGGATGGGAGAGGGGGTAGATAAGGCACCTTCATTTTTTATTCTGTATACATCTTTATTTGAATTCTTTAATTTAAACACATTTATGTATTTTTTTATAATTTAGGAGTATAAAATTTTATGTATAAATGTCTTTAGAATTTAACAAATTTTACTATCTGAGTCGTCTGAATTTACTTTGAAAATCTTCATCAGGGAAAATAATTATTGAAGACTGGAAAGAAATTACAAGGAATCATCTCTTCTATAGTATACAGTGCAAGCATAGGAATTAAGCCATTATGATCTGTTAATTGATTTAATTTTTTCTTCAGACCTTCAAGACATTCCATATTCTGATTGGTGTGAGCAGACTATCCATAATCCCTTAGAAGTAGTTCCCTCTAAATTTTCGGGCATTTCTGGATGCAGTGATGGAGTGTCTCAAGAAGGATCAGCCAGCAGCACCAAAAGCACAGAATTGCTACTAGGTAAGTTTTCAGATTTAAATCCAAGCCCTGTTAATATAACTATACTTAGTCTGTTGTTGTTGTTGTAGATACATACTGTTAATTAAAGTTGTCTCATAACTATGACAAGTCAGTTTTACTGAGGTATGTTTAGATAACTGTTGCACCTATATCAGCTGCTGATACATACCCTCTTAGCTATCTGCTTTCATTAGAAAGAATTTTGCTCCCAAAATGATTGGCAGGTCATGTGCAATTTATCTCAGTTTTATATCTTTGGTAGAGTTGAAAAAAAAAATTCCATGAGTTATAATAATTTTCTATTGTGATATAGATAAAATATTTTAATCTTCTCTTCAGGTGTTAAAACAATTCCAGATGATACACCAATGTGCCGTATACTCCTTCGCAAAGAAGTTCTGAGATTAGTCATTAATTTGAGTAGTTCAGTTTCAACTAAATGTCATGAAACTGGGCTTTTAACGTAAGTAAGCTATGAGCATGAGTATTCTTTGTTCTGCTTTTTATGATGAAAAAGATATTTGAAATACTTCAAAAGTTAGACTAATTAGCTTACATCAGTGGTTCTCAACTGCATGGCATATCTGAGTGAGACTAGATTTTCTTTACATACGTCAACCAAACTAACGTATGGTTACAAATTGAATGCAGAAGCAGGTATGTGAATCCAGCTATCTTCTATTCAGCCAGACTTTAAAGAGATCTGTAAAACAATACCAATCTTCTCACTTTTTTAGTTTTGGAAAATATAGTTTTTTTTCATTAAAGTATATGTATTTATGTTAACATGTAATAATTTTATTTTTTAAATGAATTAATAAATATTTTGAAATTTTCTCAGTTTTACTTTCTTATATGGTAATTATTGATGGCTATCACCCACAAAAAATAAGATTTGTGGGGTTCTCAAGTAATTTTTAAGAAAGTAGGGGTATCCTGAGACCATAAAGCTTAAGAAAAGCTGGCATACACATAAAAGTAACTGATATTTTCTTGGTTTAATTTTTCCCTATTTTTACTCCTTTCTTTTAATAAAAGTTGCAGAATTTTTATTGCTTTTCTAAATCACAGCAACATGATAAAAGAAAATTCAGGCAATCTTCAACATCTTTGATTTGCACTATTTAAAGCAGTGGTCCTCAAAAAAAAAAATGCACCTCAGGGTCTCCTGTGGGGCTTTACAAAATATAGTAACACAGATGCCAGGGTCCCACTGCAGACCTCCTGGCCAGAAGCTCTAAGTATAGTGTGTCCTTAATCTGTGCATTACCCCACACCACCACTGCCTCTGAGATGCTCTGCCAGCTAAAAGCCACTGTTAAAGGTTGAAAGATATATAGAGAGAGCCCAGTCAAGGATATTAATAATTTCAGTCTAACTTTAAAAACATTTCTATTTTAAAACTTAGTTTTGAAAATACTTGAGTTATCCTAGGCTGATAGATAAATCTTGTAATTTCTCATGCCAGTGAAAAAGAATATTTCTAACTTTCCAAGAAGTATTTGTGTTTTTATCATTTTAAGAGATAATCCCAAACTTAAAATAGCTAATGTAAGTGTGAGGTAGGAATATTTACTATTTTATATTCTTATGCCATCACCCAGATATGCCACTTAATCAATATCTGGAGGAAAAAGATATTTAAAAAGTGATATTTTAAAAGAAAATAGCAAAGTCATTATTATAATTTTTATCACATCCTAGTCTTTTCTTCCATTTTAGAATTAAGGAGAAGTATCCTCAAACATTTGATGACATATGCCTTTACTCTGAGGTTTCCCATTTGCTGTCACACTGCACATTTAGACTTCCATGTCGGAGGTTCATACAAGAATTATTTCAGGATGTACAGTTTTTACAAGTAAGTAGGATTTGTACTTTTGAACTTTATCTTTCAAAAGTAATTCTCTTTGAATTAAGTTAAAAGAGATTATATCTGTTGATACACTAGAAAGTCATTAATAATTTACCGCTTCATTTCTAGATGCATGAAGAAGCAGAGGCTGTCTTGGCAACACCACCAAAGCAACCTATAGTTGATACATCTGTTGAATCCTGACCTCATATTTATGATGTATATAGATGTATACTATATATATTCATATTCATGGACTTCTAAAAGCCTCAGAAAATGCCGATTGACTGGGCAGCAAAGATAGGAGTATCTCCTCTACGCTGTTCCAGCAATTACTGGTACATGAGCAGTTGGAACTGCGGACTTCCCTAACCGAAACAACTTCCTCTCTCCCCCATTGAGCCCTTTTGGGGGTTCCTTGTTCATTACCACAGTTTTAAGAGTTTTAGTTACCATTGTATGCAAGAGCCAAGCACTGAATACCTACATAGGTTTTCTATTTTTTCATTTTAAGAGCATAGTAACAGTGGAACAATAATAAGATATGCAGAAGCACCCTTCACACCGTTATTTCTGAATTCTTTTTTTAGGGTAAATATAAAGATGCCTTGTTTGTTAACTAATTTGTGGAAACTAGGAATCAGTGTCTCTGAGGGTGCATCCTATTAGCACAATGGGGTGTGCTGTAACTGCTGGTATTAGAGGGGGATCTTTGGCCCTTCCACTCTTTTCTTCATGTTTATAACACTACTTCAGAGGTTTGTAACCTCACAGCGAAAGAAGAGCCTCAACAACCAGGACTTATAAATTATTTTTACGTTTCTAGACTTACATAAAGTTTCTTGTTTTCCATCTCTTCAGTTTTGTTGCAATGTGTTATTGTAGGCTATTTGAACTAATTAAGGTTTTTCACTACAGTTCCTGATTAAAATCAGAAAATTATTTTATAATTCAAAGTATTTTCCATTCATAGAATGCATATATTTTCAGTGGACTTCCATTTTCATCAGCTTCCCGTATCACCATTTTAAACCGTAACTTGAACAAGCACCATTAATTTAGACCTAAAGCAAAAGAAAGCATTAAATAAAATCTTGCATCTCTTGAGGAAAAGATAAGTTTGCCTACAATTTATACATTCCATGGGAAAAGAAAAGCCATAGTTCCTTTTAAAAGATCATTAATGAAACTTATTACGATTAAAAATTGTAGTGAAAAGCCTTAAGTACCAAATTTTAAAGCAGCAGTAATTTAATTTTTATATCAGTGTTCTTGTTTTGCACAAACTAAATGCAGTGATAGGTGAGTTTATGAGTATAGTAATTGCCTTTATCACATTTGCAAAATTAAGTTGATGAGGGCAAGGTTTTGTTTATTTGTGTGTTTAATTTGTGTATGTCTAAAAATATTTGGAAATCTTTACAGAAATTAAACATATATGCAAATTTGTATATAAAAAAGCATGGCCATCCTCATTAGAATGCTTGTAAATGAAAGGATTATCTTTTTTGAGGTCTGTATATAAATAGAAAAAAAAACCTAGCTGGACTGATTAGGACCCTTTTTAAATTCATTTGTTTAGACCATTTTTACAGTTATGCATCAGCTCTGACACAGTCATAGTACATGGATTAATATCTTCCCATATTACAGATCCTTTTTATAATGGGCTTGTCCTTTGAGATCTCTGTAAAGAACCCTGTGAACTAGAAAACGTAACTCACAGAGTTTTTTTTTTTTTTTAATATACTGGCACTGAAAGTTCCAATTGGGATGAAGCATTTCATCTCACTTCATAACACCTCTTTGACTGCACTTCAGTGAATTGTTCTTATGTGCACTGTGTAGCAACTTACATTATAACAAAGCAGATAAGGGCTGTAAGCTTCTGCTTATGTTAAAAAGTGGTTCTTCAGATTTTCTTTCATAAAATCCAATTGAAGATAAAAGAAATGCTTTTTTTTTTTTTTTAACTTTAATTTATCACTGAACCCAAGTGTTTATTTAAATGTTAACAGTACTTCTAAGAACGTTGCCTGTCACCTTGGTCTTTGGTCTTGGATGATTAAACTGCCTTCCAGAGAACCAAATGTCAGAGATACTAGACCAAATAGTGATTAAAAACTCCAAAGGAGGTGATGTAGTAATCTTATTAATAATGGGATTAACATATTGTAGACATTCATTTTAAACACTACCTCAGTTAATATAAAATCTGTGGTTTAATCCCTCAAAAGTTAACAGTAAATTCTTTTTTGTTACACACACACACACACACACACACACACACACACACACACACACACACACACACACACCCACACACACACACACACACCCACACACACACACACACACCCACACACACACACACACACCCACACACACACACACACACCCACACACACACACACACACCCACACACACACACACACACCCACACACACACACACACACCCACACACACACACACACACCCACACACACACACACACACCCACACACACACACACACACCCACACACACACACACACACCCACACACACACACACACACCCACACACACACACACACACCCACACACACACACACACACCCACACACACACACACACACACACACACACACACACACACCCCATCCCTGGACCCCACCTCACTCATCCATCCTGCAATGAAGTCTTCATTACTATTAGCCTGAACAGTTTTTTGGATTATTACTTTGAAAGACGTGTGTATGTATCATAATATTTGCCTATAGCACTTAGTTTGGGGAGACAGAGCTTTGTGGTTCTCAGTAATCTAAGGAAAAAAGATGTCTATACTTAAATGTATAGTGCTATTTGGTTTATCCATGTTTCACTGACAGGTCTAATATGTTTCCTTTAAGTACTTATTTGTATAAAAGTAGACTTCTATGATGAAAAATGCTCACATGCGGTGCCAAGTGATTTACTTAAGTGTTTAAAATATTAAATTATAGCAGAAAAGGTTAGGAATGTTGTCAGTGGTAATAGAAATAATTGAGAAAAGCACCTATATGTAATAGATATTACCAGACTATAAAATACCAAAATAATGTCAATACTGTAGTTTTTCAAGATTTTAGAATTAATCTTAGTCCATATAAATTTGTACTACTGGTAATTATTGAATAATTTGGAGGAATTTGGGCAGTTGTGCTGGTTGTAAACTGTGAATTTCTAATTGTAAAGTGAATTGTCATTTCTAATTGAAATTTTTTTCAAGAACAGATTTCAGCTTCACATACTAATAAGTAAATACTGATAAATAAGGAAATTAGAAATTAGTATTTGTAATTAAATATGGTCTAAAATTTCTTATACTTTTACTTCCTATTTATGCTTAGATAGACTTGAGGAGGGAAAAAGTCTTTTCTCCCTAATAAAAAATTTCCTAATGAAGATTGGTAGCATAAGGGCATTCTGTAAGACATTGACTTTGAAAGAGGCTCTTTGAAGGTATATACTTTATTATGGTAGTTACTCTAACATCAAGTGTATAAGTCCTTTTGAAATGGGGTGGCTTTAATAGTTTTGAGCTCTTTTATCCAGAGCTTGAGGTAATTAAAGCTGAGTTTTTCTGGGTATATTACAATGGCAGAGTGTTCAGCAGTGAGGTGGGAATGCTTATTTGGATTTGTCTCCTGCTATTTATATAAATTTTTTTTTCATTCCATTCAGAGGATGCCTTTTATTCCCACATTAAAGCACAGATCATTAAGCAATAAAAAGCAATCAAATTGTCATCCAAATTATAACTGCAGTTACTTTTGCATGGTAAGAGTGAGGTGCTAATTTTGTGTGACAGGAGCTTTGTAAACTACCTTGGGAAAGGTCCTTTGGAGTAAGGTGTTTCCCCTTTCGTCCTATGCTTCCAGTTTGGTCTCAAATTCACAATCCGTTGAACATGGGAAAAAAGAAACAGAATTAATTGAGAGAGTTTTATGAGAAGAGCTGTTGGAATAAAAGAACATTTCACATTTTCCAAAATGTAAGTTGGGAAAGGTCTCCCTTGTCTCCCCATTCAGGGAATACATTATTACCAGCTTCATTTCAAGAGTATCACTACAGTGAGAGTTTGATTATAAAAGCATACCGGTAAAATTAATAGCAGTGCTTATCAGACAATATTGAAATCTCTGAGAATCTTTCTAGGAGCATTTGTTTTTTCTTTTAGTTTTAGGTTCCCAGGGTAGTTTTCATTCATAGTAGTGTTTTATGACTCACACAAAATGTGGCTTTTCTCCCCTTTAGAGTATTTTTGTAATATAGGTGGATAGCTATGCCACAGCATGCATAAATTGCACATTTTGTTTGACCTTCTTTATAAAATATTTAATTTGAAAAATATAATTTATGCCAAAAAAGTATATCTTGTAATTTTGCCACTAAATAGGTTGATTTAGCACAAAATGCAAAGTCTTGGGGCAAAGGAGTGGGGAGATTAAAACTTTCATAGATAATAGTTGAAAAATGTTCCATTATTGGCCTGTCAGAAACCCTAAAGCTGCATTGTAAAACAAATGGTGTAAATTAGTTTTGAAAAGTGGTAAGGGATTGTGAAAAAAATCTGACTTAATGCTCCCTAACCACAAAATTTTCTTTTTTATTTAGTAATACGCTGCTACATATTTGGAGGTTCTGGTGTTTGTAGGTCACTGAACAGACATTGAAATCTGATTTATATTGTATAACTGTAACATAGAAAGAAAAAGTATTTATATATTTTCCGTAAGAATATTTCATTGAGTTGTGTATAATTTAAATAAGGTTTGTCCTCTAATGTTTTTGCTCACCTTGATTTTTTTTTCGTGGTTTTCTTGTTTTTGTATAATGTGTACAGTTTTATGTCAAGGGCATTAAAAGCCTCCTGAAGCATAATCTTATCAAAGGGATACATTCTTAATAAAATGTACTTAAAAATTCTTAAACTTGTGTCATTCTATTTTGAAATTTTAAAACCATCATTGTTGATTTATGTATCACTGAGGCTGGTAAAAGTGACTTTTAGGTACCATAGATAAGAATATGGTTCAGTAACACATAGTGGCTTGTTCCAAATGTTTTAAAATAGCTATCTATACTTTCTAAACACTTCATAATCTAATCAAATATCTTTACAGTTTTTATTTTTTAACTGCAGTTTATTGTAAAGGGTTTGAAAAAGTGGATCGATCTATAGAACAATTCTGATTCTTTTAGTGATTAATATACAAAATGAGCAATGATGGTATGATGGTAACTTTTCTGTATAAGCTATTTGATTTCTCACACAGAAACTGGCCTGGATCAGGTAAGCTAAACTACAGCCGCCTAGTGGCAAAAGAAAATACCACAAGGGGAATTATCAAGCCTGGAGAATAAAATTCAATGTCAAAGCTAGGGTCTGTTACAGTTGATTAAGTGTGGTAAAATGTATTCAGAAATAGATTTGTTTTGGGTAGTTTGGTTTTTAAGCACATGTGTATCATTTTCATATTGCCTTCTACTATTGTTTTTCAACAAAAACGTAGTTGGCCCCCAAATAAACTAAAAGCACACTTAATCATCATCACACAGCTCACCTTTGAAAACTGTGATGATACAGCTGAACTTCAGATAGTTTGTTTCATTTTTTAAAACTCTTTGGTATATAAAGTACTGTCCTAGAGAAAGAAAAATATCCTGTGATATCCCTTATGTGTGGAATCTAAAAAGAAACGATACAAATGAACTTATTTACAAAACAGAAACAGACTCACAGACTTAGAGAACTAACTTATGGTTACCAGGGGGGAAGGGTGTGGAAGGAGGGATAGTTAGGAAGTTTGGGATCGACATGTACACACTGCTATATTTAAAATAACCAACAGGGACCTACTGTATAGCACAGGGAACTGTTCAGTGGCAACCTGGCAGCCTGGATGGGAGGGAAGTTTGGGGGAGAATGTATACATGTATAGGTAGGGCTGAGTTGCTTTGCTGTGCACCTGAAACTATCACAACATTGTTAATTGGCTATCCTTCAATACAAAATAAAAAGTTTTAAAAAATTTAAAAAAAAAGTACTGTCCTAGTCCATTCGGGCTGCTGTAACAAAATACCACAGACTGGGCAGTTTATAAACAACAAATTTATTTCTCACACTTTTGTTGGCTGAAAGTGAAATCAGAGTGTGAACATGTTTGGGTGAGGGCCCTCTTTCAGGTCCCAGACTTCTTGTGTCTTGTGTCCTCACACGGCAGAAGGGACTAGGAAACTGTAGTGTCTCTTATAAGAGCATTAATCCCATTCATGAGAGCTCTAGCCTCCTGACCTAATCACCTCCCAAAGGCCCCATCTACTAATACCATCATCTTTGGGTGTTAGGATTTCAACATAGGAATTTGGGGGGGGGCATCATTCAAACCATAGCAACTAATTTTGTATTGATCTCAAAAAAAAATGTACTAAAACTTTGTTTCTTTAATGCTTAGAGGACAAAGACAACTACATTTGCTTAGTCCTTTAAATTGAATATATTTAGTCATTGTAAGTATTTTAACTGCTAATTTTGAAGGCTTTTAATCGTCTGTTGTATCTCTTCGAAGGTTTTAATTTTTTTTTTTTGGCCGCACCTTTTGGCATTCTGGATCCTAGTTCCCCGACCAGAGATTGAACCCGCACCCCCTGCAGTAGAATTGCAGTCTTAACCACTGGACCACCAGGGAAGTACCTCTTCAAAGATTTTCAAAGTCCTACTTTATGCAAAATGTTCAGTATGTTTTGTGATTTTTTTGAGATGAAAGTCAGCTAATCTTTCCACAGAGCTCTTAGAAGAAATATTTGATGTTGTCTAATTCAACCTGATTTTCTTAATAAATCATATTCTAGTGGAGAATTAGTTTCACTAGAATTAGTATGAGTCAGGTGTTGGAATGTCAGCAGGCACTTTCAGCAGGTCCATAGCTCTGCTATGTGACTAGGTCCCTGCTACCAGCCTATCTGCCTGCAGCTGAGGACCAGTCACCAGGCCGAGGCATTATTTATTTATAGGTCATTATTTGCCAGTTTCTCCCACCATCAAAATATCCTGATATTGCTAAGGAATATTACTAACTAGATTTTAGATGTGATTTTTTTAAAATTTTAATTTTTAATTTTTTACTTTATATTGGAGTATAGTTGATTTACAATGTTGTGTTTCACATGTACAGCAAAGTGATTCAGTTATATGTGTACATATATCCATTCTTCTTCAGATTCTTTTCCCATGTAGGTTATTACAGAATATTGAGTATAGAGTTCTCTGTGCTATACAGTAGGTCCTTGTTGATTATTTTATATATAGTATTGTGTATATGTTAATCCCAACCTTCTAATTTATCTCTCCCACCCCCTCACCTTTCCCCTTTGGTAACCATAAGTTTGTTTTTGAAGTCTGTGAGTCTGTTTCTGTTTTGTAAATAAATTCATTTGTATCAGCTTTTTTTAGATTCCACATATAAGTGATACCATGTTTGTCTTTCTCTGACTTACTTCACTTAGTATGATAACCTCTAGGTCCATCCATGTTGCTGCAAATGGCATTATTTCATTCTTTTTTATGGCTAGCGGTCCATTGTATATATGTACTACATCTTCTTTATCCATTCCTTTGTTGATGGACATTTAGGTTGCTTCCATGTCCTGGCTATTGTCAATAGTGTTGCAGTGAACATTGGGGGGGTGCATGTATCTTTTTGAATTATGGTTTTCTCAGGCTGTATGCCCAGTAGTGGGATTGCTGGGTCATATGGTAGTTCTATTTATAGTTTTTTAAGGAAGCTCCATTCTGTTCTCCATAGTCGTCGTATCAATATACACTCCCACCAATAGTGTAGGAGGGTTCCCTTTTCTCCACACCCTCTCCAGCATTTATTGTTTGTAGACTTTTTGATGATGGCCATTCTGACCTGTGTGAGGTGATACCTTATTGTAGTTTTGATTTGCACTTCTCTGATAATTAGCGATGCTGAGCATCTTTCCATGTCCTTCTTGGCCATCTGTATGTCTTCTTTGAAGAAATGTCTATTTAGATCTTCTACCCATTTTTTTGATTGGGTTGTTTGATTTTTTGATAGGTATGATCTTTTAAAAGGTATTACGGCTATATTAGAAAAAGTAAAGCCTATTTAGGGAAACAAATATTTACAGATGAAATGATTTGCTTCAAAATCATATCAGGAGGGAGACTGAATAAGAGTACAGATGGACTAAAATAAACATGGTTTAGTGGCTGTTCAGATTGATGACAATACATAAGGGTTTGTTAAACTCTTCTCCGTTTGTATATATTTGAAATTCTCCATGAGTTTTTTTTTAATCGTAATAATTCTGACACATGAATACAAATTTCAAAGTTTCTGAATAACGCTTCTTAAAATGATGCTGTTAAATGGCATATAGGTTTCAAATACTAAGTTATTTGGTTATTCACGAAGATGGGAGAAGAATGTTTACAGCCAAAACTATAGTCATAGTGATACTGTAAGGACAAACTTATATAGCCCAGCATTTCCTATTGGTATGTTGTTATATTTCAGAAAGACATCTTCATTTGACTTAGACCAATGATTCTCAAAGTCGACTGTGCATCTGAATGCCTGGGAACTTATGAAATATATGGATTCCAGGCCTTGGACCACAGAGATTCTGGTTATGAGATTTGGACTGGTACCCAGGAATTTACATTTCTAGTAAGCTTATTTATCAGCTATAATAATTGTTAAGGTTTTCATTTCATTGAGGTAGAGAAAACAAAATAATGCAATGGTGAAATATTTTAATTAAAGCTTATCGCAACAAAAATGACTTCAGGGTTTTGTGGATTTTTTTTTTAAAGAAAATCTTTATGAAAGATACTATTTACAAATCAATCATCACTGTCATTGATGTTTCTATGTACTTTTATAATTGCATCATGACAAACTCTAAGAGGCTAAATGATAACAATACTGGCCCCAGAGTCTTCTCAGAACTCTTAATCAAGATACTTGTTTATACTATGTTAGGTGTACATAGCCCATTATTCAGCCAAAGGCTTAGTTATATAGAAGGAAAAAGTTGAAAAGCCTGAACAGAAGTCCGGGTTTGTGTATATTTAGGTCAGTTGACAGCCATCTTCCTTTCAGCCGTGGCTCCTTCTCTCTGATTCTTCATAGTGTGGAATGGCACAGCGCAGGGCATTCGGTACCAGAAGCACAGGCAGCGTCATCCCCACCACAACAAAGAAGAAGGAGCCCCTAATTATGCTAGTTTAGAAGTGTGATAAGTAAACATTAAGGGTTGTCGGGCAGAAAGAAGAGAACTCTAGCATGACTGAACACCTACCATGTACCAGGTATGTGCTTTGCATATATTGGTTCAAAGAGACAAAGCTGCTGCTGAGCCACTACAGGAGTTCCCACTCCATTTAGCCTTTTGCAGTTATACCTAAATGATGTTCAACAATGAGGTTTCACTTTATTATGTTAGCATAATAGGAATATAAGGAGACAGTGAAGGCGTTATCTTGACCCAGACAACCTACTGCAGAGTCCAAAAGATGCTTACTGAAAATAGGTCATTTATGTACCAGAGTTCTTGAAAAAAAGGAACCATAAATGTGAATGGAATTAATGACCTTATCCTTTTATCTGTTCTGAGGTAGTCATCAAAAGTTGTGGTAGAAGACGTGCCTACTAAGTAGGAGTGCTATAATCTTGACACTGAGGCAGGGGTTCCATGCCAGTCCCACTCTTCAACCATGGTAAACTAAACAGGACAATCGTGGGGATCTCATCGATTCATTCGCATGTCTTACCTATTAGATAAGGTCTAATAGGAAGAGTTCATTTTACTACATCAATGAACTACAAATTATCATCACTTCAAGGCAAGTCTAAAGTCTGTTTTGGTCTCAAATATCTGCGACTTCATTAAACACACCCAGAATAAATTAACAACATTGACAATTTATGCTCCAGTAACGAATCTTCTGTAGCCTTTATTAAAGCCTGAAATCTAGTTCCTTTACTCTTAAGATATTAAATGTGGGGTAAAACTTAATGGAAATACTTTCTTACTAAAAACTGACCTTCAAGGACCTGTCCAGTACTGAGTGGATGGGGTCTATCCCCATGCCAAGTGCCAAGTCTGCTGTTACAAAGGTGAACGTGGAACACGCAGCAGCAAGGTAAGCCTGTTCCCATGATCCTGGCCTTTCTACAGTGAGCCTGCTCCAAGGATGAATGTTAAGTTTCATAGCTTCTGACCTTCAAAACCTAGCAAGATTATATAAATCAGACCTGACAATGGTGATGATAGCTCACTGGCATTAAGCCCTGAGGTATCTGGTGATGGAGTGGTGCCGGCTATGCTTCTCCTAGGGTCTGTGTAGCATGAGGATACGAAATGGGTACACTGCTTAGCAGCAGTGTTCACCTTGACCTAAAAGGGTCGTGGAGGAGAGGCTGCTGTTCTCACTTCGGGGAGCGGAGGCAAGACCCAGGGGTATGGCCATTTGCATTTTATACTCTGAACAGAGTGCTGGCTCTGGTGGATTTGTTGGCAGGCTGTCCTCGTCTCCAGAGGTGGGTGAAGCCAACTGGGACAGATAATTCAAATTAGCTTCTCCGGCTGGGATTTCTCCCAGGGAATTCACGTAGTTTTGTTCCAGTGCCTTTAGTAAATTTTCAGGTGAAGTCAGTGGTCCCAGCTGATGTGGTGGGGCTTGAGGGGTTACTGGGAAATGTCCACAAGAAGCAGAGTCAGAAGCTGCCTGATTATAGGTGAAGTTCTCAAAGCAGATGCAAGGTCCAGGGCCAGAGTAGTTCTTCTCCGTCGGAAGGAGGTAAAGGTAGGCAGGCCTAGTAAATTCAGTTTCTGTGAGCGACTTCCTAGTGCCTAAGAACTGTATCTTACTCCCTTCGGGCTTGTTTATAACTTCAATAGCATCTGGAACACAGTCGTTGACATTCATTATTGTTAGATGAGGATTCTCCTGAAACAGAAACAAAAAATGTGCAAAGATAATGTGTGTGTGTGTGTGTGTATCACAGTATATAAAGTATGTGAAATGCACTTAGAGCTTCAGTTTTTTTTGTTGTTTTATCCTGGTCACAAGTTAACTGGAGGTGATGTTGAAAACCAAAAGATAGCCCGACAGAAGAAAGATGTGTTCAACCCTTTCATGGCTATGGGAGCAGAAGAGGCTTTTTGCTTTGTGACATCTTCCTGAGAAGGTCTAGGAGTATATGATTATTATAGCCCCAGCCCTGGGCTGGCCTTTAACAAGCATATGAGTATCCATACAATTTCCCAGCGTTTACCTTGGATTTTATTAATGACAGGACACTGCTCTTGTAAGGGTCTGGAATATCAGGATAACACTTCTCCTTCAGCCTAGAAAAACAGTGAAAATTAGACTGAATTTTGCAATATAGCGTAATGGTTCAGAGTGAGAACCCTGGAGTCAGATTCCTGGGTTCTAATCCGTGCTCTATCATCAATCACTCATTAACACTGTAATCTTAAGCAAGCTTTTTAACCCTTCTATGCTTTAATTTCCTTACTGGTTCAATGGAGATCATTATGGTGGTGATGGTGGTGTTGGAAGCATTAAATGAATTGTTATATGTAAAGCACTTAGAACACTTCCAAGTACATGGTAAGTGAAATACAAATATTAGCTATTGCTATGAACAAATTTTGCAACATTTTAAAATAGTTGGTTTCCTTATTATTTTTGGCTGCGTTGGGTCTTCGTTGCTGTGCGTGGGCTATCTCTAGTTGAGGCACGTGGGCTCCACACTGTAGTGGCATCTCTTGTTGCGGAGCACGGGCTCTAGGTGCGCAGGCTTCAGTAGTTGCGGCATGCAGGCTCAGTAGTTGTGGCACATGGGCCCTAGAGCACAAGGGCTTCAGTAGTTGCGGCACATGGGCTCTAGGGCGCGCAGGCTCAGTAGTTGCGGCACATGGGCTCTAGGGTGCGCAGGCTTCAGTAGTTGCGGCACGCAGGCTCAGTAGTTGTGGAACGTGGGCCCTAGAGCGCAAGGGCTTCAGTAGTTGGGGCACATGGGCTCTAGAGCACAGGCTCAGTAGTTGCGGCACATGGGCTCTAGGGTGCGCAGGCTCAGTAGTTGTGGCTCACGGGCTCTAGAGCACAGGCTCAGTAGTTGTGGCTCGTGGGCTTAGTTGCTCCACGGCATGTGGGATCTTCCTGGACCAGGGCTCGAACCCATGTCCCCTGAATTGGCAGGCAGATTCTTAACCACTGCGCCACCAGGGAAGTCTAGTTTTCTTATGTACTGATTTATTGCTTATCTGTGGATAAACAAGATTGTTTAAAACTTACCATATTTCCACCAAATCCTCCTTTGTTCTTTCCTTTTCAGCACTTTTCCTCATATTATCAGGTGTGACTTCTATCTCCTTTCTAGATTTTTCTCAGATTCTTAACTGCGCCACCAGGGAAGTCTAGTTTTCTTATGTACTGATTTATTGCTTATCTGTGGATAAACAAGATTGTTTAAAACTTACCATATTTCCACCAAATCCTCCTTTGTTCTTTCCTTTTCAGCACTTTTCCTCATATTATCAGGTGTGACTTCTATCTCCTTTCTAGATTTTTCTTTGACTCCTTCTTGGATAAAACCTTCCCCGCACACTTACCACTGACTTTTTAAGTAGCAAATTATCATGACGATCAAAACGCAGAAAATCATGGGCAGGATGATGCGTATCAGTGTATGGGCTGGAGAGGAAAAAGAAAGGGATATTTTTTTTTTTTTTTTGCGGTAACACGGGCCTCTCACTGTTGTGGTCTCTCCCGTTGCGGAGCACAGGCTCCGGATGCCCAGGCCCAGCAGCCATGGCTCACGGGCCCACCCACTCCGCGGCATGTGGGATCTTTCCGGACCGGGGCACGAACCCGTGTCCCCTGCATCGGCAGGCGGACTCTCAACCACTGCGCCACCAGGGAAGCCCAGAAAGGGATATTTTTAATGACTACTTTTCCCTCAAAGGAATTAAAATAGTTTTACATGTCTTTTATTCCTCAAAACTCCATTTGTGCAAGGTTCAATATGAGTTCTGTCTGACTGCTGGGGGCCAGGGCAGTGAGACCAACCAGCCAACACAGGGAACCATTTGCCCTCAACACTTGTGACTCAAACCCATTACCTATCCTGACAGACTGGATCATTACTCCCCATTCTTTACTCCCTCCCTGTATGAGAATTATACTCCACACCCTTGACTTGTGGGCTCAGCCACGTGAGTTGGTTTGGCCAATGGGAGGTGAGTAGTGGTCATGCTGGTTGGTAGCTGCGTTCAGTGTGCTTGTAGTTGGCTTGCTCTCTTGTGTTCCTGTGACCCACTCTGAGAAGAGTTGGTCCCTCAGAGCCACTGTCCCTTCAGCCTAAGCCTCAGGGTGAACCTACATGGAACAAACCTGCCTGAAGCTTGGAGTCCCACCTGGCCCAGCCTACATCAGCCAAGCCAGGAGCATCAAAAGAGAGATTTATTTTTGTATGCCATTGAGATTTTGAGGTATTTTATTACATGTCAAAAATTGACAAATGCACCCCTTCTAGTTAGGCTCTGAAAAAATTACCTAAGTCATCACCTGGGATAATTATTCTATTTTTATTTCTCAGATATGTCAACCTGTACTTCATTTACATAAATGCCCATCTTCCTGGTCTCACTGCTTGCAAATTCACCAAAGAATAGTTCAGCTGGGTTGGTAAACATCCTCTTTTATAAAAGCAAATCACACGAAGGGGTTTGGAGGCTGACAGTCATTCATATGTACATATATTCCGGTTCAATCCCTTTGCCTCCCTGCCCTCCTCATCCCCCTCCACAGCTGTCCTGCAGGAATGGGGCCTAACTTGTGCTGGTGGATAACGCTGGAGTTTTGTCAGGGAGGGCAGGCCCTCCCTGAGGAAGCTTCTGAGGAAGCACAGGGCTCTGGAGAAAAGGACATGGGAAGGTAAGAGGGTGGCAGAGAAAGCACCTCGACAACTGGCCTAAAATTATCCCTGACGCCAGGTAAGGTGAAAGAAACTCCTGACACCACTAAAGAACACCTTGCTCTTGGACTTCCCTGGCGGCACAGTGGTTAAGAATCCACCTGCCAATGCAGGGGACATGGATTCGAGTCTGGGAAGATCCCACATGCCACGGAGCAACTAAGCCCGTGCACCACAGCTACTGAGCCTGCACTCTAGAGCCCTGTGCCACAACTACTGAGCACACGTGCCACAACTACTGAAGCCTGTGCACCTAGAGCCCGTGCTCCACAATGAGAGAAGCTACTGCAATGAGAAGCCCGCACACCACAGCGAAGAGTAGCCCCTGCTCACCACAACTAGAGAAAGCCTGCATGCAGCAATGAAGACCCAACACAGCCAAAAATAAATAAATAAAAATAAATAAATCAGTACACATATGTTTAAAAAAAAAAAAAAGAACACCTTGCTCTCAAGAGCAGTACTTTTGATGACTACAACTGGTTTTAAAATTTGGTTAAAATACGAATTTGTAATGTATCTGAAAAGAAGCCTGGGGAGCTACCCATAGTAGTTTCCAAACTTCAGACAGGCTTTGCTAAACTTTCTGTTGAAGTATAATATGTGCATACAGAAAAGTGCTCCTAAGTGTACAGCTCAATGAGTTTTCACAAACTAAACGTACTCACGTAACCAGTACCCAGATCAAGAAAAAGAATGTTACCAGCTCCCCCGAGAGTCCCCCAGTGTCCCCATCCAGGCATCTTCCCCTCCCAGGGTAACCACTATCCTGCCTTTCAACCACATAAACAGCATTTGCCTCTGTCTATACTCTATGTGTGGAATTGTGCAGCAAGAGCGGTGCCTGGCTTCTGTCACTCACCATTGCATTTGAGTCCTCCATACTATTTTTGTAACTGTGGACTGTCATTCTCACTGCTGCAATTATGCAGCAGTTTAGTCTACTTTTTCATAATAATCAATATAATCGAGTCACAGCCAAGGCAAAGGAGGTTTCTCATGAGTAAGGGAGATAAATGAAATCTAGAAAATATACTTGAGATAATGATAATATGTATTATACGTGTGTGTGTGTGTGTCTTACACATACTCATACACACACCTCTACCAGCCAAGTAAATACTGAAGCTGGAAGAAAAACAGCCTGAAAATAAATTTAAAATTAACTCTAAAATGGCAAGCATGCTCAAGTAATGTGAGTTGTTGACTGAAATCTTAACCTGACTATGAGAGTTCTGGCCTTTGGCTTAGAGACCTGGGGCCATGTTTCAGCCCCAACCTGCCACTGTGGTCATGGGCATCCTCATCACCAGTCAGGCAGCCAGGTCCAGTGGTTCTACCTGACGAGCCCACCCCATCCCCAGAGCCCCACCTTACACTACTTGGCAACTCAGGCAGCTATTTTAGCCTATTTGTTTTTCATGGAGGCGAATCTTGAGAGGTCCTTTCCAGCGTGGACCTCCTATGATGCCTATCTGCTACCTACTTTCCCCGCTTTCCTCCATCAGTATCTGTTTTCTCCCACCACCTTCCTCTTTGTTGGAGGGCAGGATTTACCAGCAGAATCTTATTTACCAGTAAGCTGCCATTCTTCTCCCTTCCTCTTCTTTCTCCATCTTTCAAGACAAATGCATTTTGAAAGGATGGCTCTCTTTATCTCACCCTTTCCCCATCAAATCTGCAAACACCAGGTTCGTGAACCAACACTGCTTGCCCCACCGTACTTTCTAGTACCCCCAGAGAGGCAAGGTCAGGAAGCCAGTAATTTGCCACTGAGAGAAACCAGCCAGAAGGCTGGCTGCAGAGAGTAGTTCTGCTGAGAAAAACATCCCCACCCCTCTGCAGACAGAACTCACAAGGCTCTTCCCAAGTCAACACTAAAATATGCCATCAGTGATTTTCAAACTATTCTGGGACCGAGTTCCAGAGAAGTGCCTCAGGGGCCAGAGAGAGGCAAGAGGAAGGTTCCAGGTTATAGATCAGTTGGATTAGCTTCACTCTTATCTATTTTATGTAGTGGGATTCTGCGTAACATTTCCTTTTTTTTTTTTTGGTGAGTTTCATCTAGAGAAAGTGACAGACAGAAAGAGAAGAAAGGTTTAAAAATTCCCAATCTAGACAAAACCCATGCCCATGGTGTGTGTCATTTGTCAGTTTCCCAAGAACTGCTAAGAATTTTGATTTGGAGAAACTCACAGTATTCATCCGGAGTTGTGACCTTTGTGAAAGCATCCAGGGGACCCTCGCCAACACTTGTGTAAGGAGTGACGAAAAACTCATAGACGGATTCCGGCTGTAGGTTTTCCACAACAAATGTCTTTTGTTCCGGGTTGTCAATTGTGTATTTGCAACATACTGAATCCTCTGTGGGTTTAAAAAAAAAAAAAAATTTTTTTTCAAGAAGAAAAAACTATTAAGAGCGTGATAAAGATCTTGTCAGACAGTGGGGCACTAATACTCTTGTTGACTTGGCACTGCCAACATTTCTAAACCAACCAAAAATGAAACCATAATTTCATCACACTGGGGACACTGGTAAAATATTCGGGAGATGGCAAGCAAAGCAAGCACCCCACTAAACAAGGGATGTTCCTCATCCAGGGGAAGCACTCAGACCTGCCAGAGAGAGAGTAAGAGCCTGCCAGTGCTTCCTAGGTATACATTTTAATAAACTTTAATGAAGTCAAAGAAAAAAAGAAAATGAGGTTAGCAAGGACGTTTCCTAAGTGGTAGGTTTTCTTAAGGAGCTGAGGGTATTTCAGGTGCTTCTAAAAATACTGGGCCACATTGTTTTTAAGTAAGCTAAAATCCTGGCCCCCATGGTCTTGTCCACCCTACTAATTTGTTTAAGAACACCATTCCATCATAAAAGCACGTGAGCACAGAATTCTGCCTGGCCACAGTCAGAGACAGCCGGCAGCCTTTACAATGATTTCAAATAATGAGACCTTGAAACGGTAAACAGACAAAAAAAAAAAAAAAAAAAAAAAAAACTGTGCTCCGCCACGGGGGAGGCCACAACAGTGAGAGGCCCGCGTAAAAAAAAAAAAAAAAAAAAAAAAAAAAGTCACCTGGAAGAACTGTCTTTTCAAATGCCGGGTGGCACTGCTCCCCCGCCTTGGGTTTCAGGTAGACATGGTATCCTTGTATAAAGCCAGGTTGGGATTCAGTGGAATAATCCTTCCAACTCAGAGTGAAGGAGTGGGAAGTCAAGTTACTCATGACCACTTGAGGGTTGTCTGAAGGAGCTAGGAAAGGAAGTTGGGATAATGTAAGATTTACGATTTGGAAAGAGTCTCAATGCACTGGTGTAAACTGAAAGCAGAACCACGGCCCACTCTGTAGGTGCGTGTGCCAAGTGAAGGAGTCTCATCTTTTTCTCTAAAGGATGTACGCCCTGACTTAGCTCGTGAGAGCTGGGAAGGAGTTGAGCAATCATCTTGTTCAAGCCTTACATCTCTCAGGTGTAGAAATGGATGCCCAGAGAGACTCAGTAACTTGGCAAGGTCACACAGCAAAAAAGAAAGGCTTTCCTAGACTTCATTCTGAGTCTGAATTCTCAACAGTGTTTGGGAGGATGAACTGAAGTAGGGAGGAAGGGAGGAAGGGTTATGTTTGAAGAGGTATGGGCAACTTTGAAGAACGCTAGTTCCCAAGTGGTAGCAGTGCACAATTGTCCAGGTGTCACAGGGAGAATCAGAAAGCGTTTATTCTGAGGCTTCCCTGAGAGCCTGTTTCAGCTCATACGCTGGTGCACACCTGGCCTATGTCTGTCAAAACACACAACACACCCCTCCTACCTGTCTGGGGCAGCTCCCACCCAATGGAGAACCCCAAGAGCTGGTCTGATTGGTGAGAGGCAATCAAGGACACAGCTGCCCAGCTTCCAGTGGGTGTGAGACCCTGGATGCCGAGAAGGTGAATTAGCAACCACATGGGAGGATCAAACCTTCCCCACACTGCTGGTGAGATCATGGTACAATTTCTGGGGGGGCAGCGATTTCACAATATCTACTAAAAGTCTTAAAAATTATAAAATTGTATTTAAGAAGTTCAAACCTTTTGGCTTGAGTATTCTACTTCTGGGGCTTTGTTGAAAAACCATTATCAGAGCAATGAACAAAGATTCAGCTAAAATGACGGTGAGTCAGATAGGGCATAAGAGATTTGGCCAAGAAAGAAGAGAAAGATTGAGTATTTGAGACTGCAACATAACTGAAAGTGAATTTTATAGTTTTTAATTGAGAAATATTTTTGTAATCATCCTAAAAGTCCAACGACAGGTGATTTGACATATGCAAACCATGAGGCACTTTGCAGTACTAAAAAATGATAGTTAAATATTACTTAGTGACATGAGTCAAAAAGCACTTTACAAAACTGCATAGAGTAGTAATAAAAAAGATCCCATTTTTATTTAAAAGTGTATATCTGTACTGAGAAAGGATACACATAAAATATTAACTCTGGACATTTGCCCTTGGGTGGTAAAATTAGCAATCATTTTGTCTTCTTTTGCATAACATCTTATAAATTGTCTTTAATGAAAATGTTTTCTATTTGTATGATGAAAAAATAACTTTTAAAAAAACCCCACTGCCAGAATAAACGGGACACTGAAAATTAGGAAAGGTGCTGTAATCTTCCTAAACCCAAAATGAAGAGTTTCTGGATTGTTCTAAACAATGGACACATTAAATGCTTTAAACTTACCCAGTTCCTCCAAGTATCCTGCTTTTTTCTCTAATAAATGAGCCATCCTTTTGGTAGAAATTCCATAAATTCTGAAGTTGTATCGAACCCCTGGTCTAAAAGCACCTAGAGAAGAAAAGTCAACAGATTTTCAATAACACAGGATGCCATTCTCTTTACTTCTGACAAGAAGAAGAATGAAAAATGAATTTGTGTCCCCTTAAGAATTTCCTCCTCGGGGTTTCTGCCCTTCATCGCCACCATCTTCCCTCCTTCCCCTGAATCCTCCAGCATTTCCGACGAAGTCTGGGCGACTGCCCTCTACGTCGTCCTCTTGATCAAGAACTTGCAAACATGCCCTTATCCACGTGCATGCAACTGGGCGCAGAATTCAACCAGACACAGAAAACAATGTAAAACTCTCCTTTGACTCCAAATCCCCTGCCAGCGACTGGCCGCCTCTCTGCCCATGAAGGGCAAGCATCTGGAAGATTTGCTTCCAGTACCTCACTTTCCCCTCACCCCACACCTCTGAACCATGCCACTGACACTGCTCAAGCCAAGGGAAGACTCCCCTCCTCACTCCCCACCAGCCACTGAATGCCCTCCTGGAGTCTCATCAATCACCCTCTGGACCCAGACAATTCCCACATCTTTATCTTGAGCCCAGCAGATGGCGCCACCAACACCCCCCCCACCCCCCCCCCCCCCAGAATCTGTAAGGAACACATCTTGTGACTCTCTTTCCACAAACCTACTCCTTAACTGCTACACTAGTAATCTCGAAATGACAGATCCAGTGTGGGAGGAAAGAGACCAAGTTCTATATGTTCCATTGAAACTGAAGTTGATAATCGACTCCCGTCAGCTCTACTCCTATGTTTCCCAAATCCACACCCTTCTTTGCTTTTGTAAAAGCTCTCAGGACAACTGTTATAATGTCCCTCTGCCGTTCATTTGAGACTGCTGACTCACTGCTGAACAAATTCATGAAACTCATGAACACCTATTCCAGCCTTTGGTCCAGATAGTCTCTGTAAAAGTAGATATAAAGGTCAAAACTTAGACCACATCACTGCAAAATTTGAACTCCAAGACCCACACTGGATTTGTAGTTATCAGTTGGGCACAAAGTATCTGAGATGATCCAGAAACCCCTGTTGAAGTTGCTGCCAGGTGAATGGAGCAGCATGGTAATACAGAAGGTTCTTCTTACCCGAGCTAATGACTGTGCTTGTGGTATTGGGGCCTAGGTTTCTCCACTGGAGAACACAGGGCAGGTCCTGGGGACAATCACACCACTCTACAACGTAGCCTGTGGCATCTCCGGATTGGGGTTTCCAAGACACAGAAAATCCATCCTCTGTGCCATTAACTCTTCCTTTTTCAACCTCTTCTGTACATACAAAGAGGGCAATGCTTCAGATTTCATTAATCATACATTTTGCAAAAATATCTAAAGAAGAAAATAAACTTGAACGTGCAGTGTATCTAGCAGGTAAAAGCCCTACCTCTGCAATTGTTACGGGGCTTGGGTTAGGGCAGGAGGGATCTTTTCCTGCCTCTCACTCCCAACAAATATTCACACCTGCCCTTCAGATGCCCCCTGTCCTGATCTTCGGAGACCCAAAGGGACATCAGCCCCTAAAACAGGGATCAGCAAACCACTGCCAGCAGGACAAATCCAGCCTTGGAAGCTTGTTTTTATATGACCCCTAAGCTAAGACTGGTTTTAAGATGTTTAAAGAGTTTTTAAAAACAAACAAAGAATACAGAATATAGACTGGAGACTGTCTGGCCTACAATGCCTAAAATATTTACTCTCTGCCCCTTTACCGAAAAAGTTGTTGACCCTTGACCTAGAACTGTGTCTGGTACTTGATCTGCTTTCAAAAATCATCTGTTGAATGAATGAATAATTTGGCTTAATTATCCCACATAATGCTGGCTGCCCCTGAACTAACTACTGTCTCCTAGATGTTAGGGGCAGAAACTGAGGTGAGTGTGGAGAAAAAAGGAAAGAACAATTCAGGTATGTACTAAGCCAGATTATGAACGGATGTGCACGCTACGTATGACCTAGGATACCACCTCAACGTATTTTATGCACCAGGGTAGTTTTCCTAAGGTCTGACAATTGGAAAAAAGGTGATATGGTCTCAATGGACTACAGTTCTACTGATTTCAAGCAGGTCAGCCTAGATATTGAGGGATGAGAATTTCTCCTATTTCCGAGGCTGACTCCACAGCCCGCCACTGTTCAGAGGGCAGTGGTCCCTGGTGGTCACTCGAGTGAAAGCAGACTCTGATCAAGGGGTGGACCTGCAAGCAGCTGTACAGAGAGGCAGTCAGTGTGGCGCAAGTGTTACATGGGACAGACTTAACACTCAAAATGTACTTGTTGCTTCTCTGCAATTCATATTTAACTGGGCATCTTTTATTTTATCTGGCAATTCTAATTACAGCTGAACACTGATGCGAAAGCAGGATGCTATTACATTTTCTAGGGCACCAAATTATCACCCAGCTGTGAACACTGAAAGGAATGTGCAGCCCCAGGTATGAGGCGAGAGGTTCCCCAAGAAGGCCTGTGCCTATGCTGCCCACATGGCTTCTCTGTCTTCCTTCATCAGAGAGACAAATCTCTTTCATATTAAAACTTATTCACATGACTAAATTTGATCCCAAAATGATGACTAAATGATGACTAAAATTTCCCCAAATGATGACTAAAATTTCATCCCAAACTTAGAAGCATGACTCTTACTCAGCTGCTTCTTTAAAATTGCAAATATGTTTTGAGGAGTGGAGGTAGAGGGGAAGAGAAAGGCAATCTATTTTTTTTTTCTTCAGTCATTCACACTCTAGTGTGAATTGGCTAAACCTCCTTGGTCTGTCTCATAGCACATCAGTGCCTTTATCCACTCCAGAGACTTAAGAATGTGGACCACATCAGGAAAGCTGGATAGGGCCTCACAAGGTGAAGGAATGGGTTCTAAAGGCAGGGCATGGGGAAGGAAGGTATGGTCGGAACCCACAGATAGGGATGACCCCAAACAGATAATAGTGTTTAGCAGAGTTGTTTGAGCTGAGTGTCATTGGAGGCAATGTTTTTTTAATCTGTCAGCTCCCCCAGGGTGAATGAAATGCCCACCTTTCCCTTTCTGGCCCTAATAAAGACAGAATACAACTATTCATTTCCTTCTCTAATACAGTTCTAGACAAGCAAAGATTATGTTAAGTAACTCCTTAGTTTTTCTCCTGTGGCACAATCCCAATTTCTTTTTCTTACTTGACACACTGGATAGTTCTTAAACAAAATAAATAAAACAAAATAATAACACCCTCTAATCTAGCCCACTTAACCTAAATTTAAGCCTAATTTGAATGATAGGTATAAAGCAACGTGACATAACCCTACAAGCAGGGTCTGAAAATTTTTATAGCACTAACTGAAGGGTGACATTATTGCAAGGTTCATGAGTGACCTTAGGATGTCTGTTGGGTCATGTCCAAGTGTGCAGTGTCTCAGAGTGTGTACTGCTGGGGGCGGGGTTAGTGCAGCCAACCTCTTTTCACAGCTCTCCCAAGAAGGAAATTTACACCATTGTTAATTATACATGTAAGGTCATTTCCACCTTGTTTGGTCTCTCACAAGCTAAGGGTTTAGCCAGTTATCACCATTTTATTCCACAGCTTTGGCAAAGCCCTTCTCGAAAGATGATGCTAGCTCTCCTCATGATGTACAGAAATGTTCCTGGGCTCTTTATAGGTGGCCAAGACTGACAAAATATTCTGCCATATAATAAACGCACCTCATGTTTCATAAGCCACAAAGTACTTTCACACCAGCTCTAACTCTCAGTTGGGACTGTCTGTCGGTGTTGCATTTATGTGAATAAATTTGAGACAATTTCCCAAGTTGGTGGAAGAATCCCTGAGCTATGGCTGAAATCTTCTTCCCACACAAAGGACGACTGCGCCAGAAACCCGCTGACATGCCTGAACCCAAAGAAAATGACAGACAGTGTTTGGCAGCTAGATCTTTTGTCTCCCCAAATTACTGTCTTTCTGATTTATCCATCTCTGCCTAATAACACCATCAACATTTTTCTAGAGAAGAAAAGCAAAACCAAAAACACTCACCGTTTCCAGGGTCTCCAGAAACGACAATTACGGAAGCGGGAGAAGGGCCCACACTGTTGTGAGCTGTGACATGGATTTGGTAAGAACATTGATCGAGGGTTAGTTCTGTGCTGTTGGCGGGAGCAGGGATGGAGAGGACCTCTAACCTGGATGGCTTGTCTAGATTTTCTACAATTACATTATAGAACAGGATCTTCCCGTTGGCATGCACTTTTGATAGTGGCTGAAAAAAATATTAACAATCATTTCAAAATGGGCTTTCCTCTGAAAAGAGTTTGCTTAATTTCTTTTTTATCTTTTCTGTCCCTTGATTGAACACACACACACACACACACACACACACACACACACACACACACACACCACACTGGGCTAATTAAAACAGCTTAAGAGAGAAAATAACCTTCTAAACCAAGCTTGAAATCAGACATTCTATTCTAACTAAAATTGAGCAGAGAATAGGATCATTTGGGGGAGATCTCAGAGTATATTGTGTCCAGAGAGGAGTGACCAAGTCAGGAATAGAGAGAAAGGGGGACTCTTTAGCCTGGATTAAAACACACTCAGTGAGTATGGAGTGGGAAAGACAGGAGTAGACGCAGACGGGAGGGGCCTGAACCTCCGGCCTACCTTCCCGAGGACAGACAGTGCCCCTGGTGTGTGCACCCCCAGACCTGAGATTGGGCTGGGGCAACTGTTAGCTTGGGGTATGGACAAAACCTGGACGTACAGACTGGCACGTCCACATGTGTGTGCATGGGGGTCCTCCCTGATAGGGAGGACTGGAGTGGAGATGGGAAAAAGAGTGGGGTGGCCTGTGGCCAAGGACCAGCTCCCTCAGCACGGCCATGCTTTAGCATCAAACACTGAGGAATCCGAGAGTTCTTAACGCAAACCAGGCCTTCCACGTTGTCGTGAAGGCATGTCAGTTAAGATAGAAAGACAAGATTAATTTTATATTGCAGTTTTTTAGCTTGACTTATAACTTTCAAATATAAATACTCTGAATAGTTAAATATTTATAACTTTTAATTATGGTATATATTTCTCCACTTATACTCATGGACTGGGCCCTGCAGATCTTAGGGGCAGGCCTGAGAAGTTAGGAGATGCAGTTCTAACAGTCAGAACTGGCCACCTGTGCAAGAGGCTGCTGAGGAAGGAGTTACTGGTCCAGTGCTGGGGACATGGATGTGGAGCGGGGATTCCTCCACTGGGTAACAAATTCTACTGGATTCATGTTAACAGCCCTCCCCATCAGAAGACTGCACCAATGTCTAGTTTCAGTGAAAGATAACTGCCAAGCAAAAATCTGTCTCTTTGAACGTCTGCATCTCACCTTCCAGAATAAGCTCACAGTAGGATGTCCTGACACCATCTTCAAGTTTCTCCAGACATCGGGAGCCTCTGAGGGAGCTGAAATTAACCAAAGAAAAGCTCTAGGGTCACAATATGCACGTACAATAATATTCAACCTTTCTCTAGTTCCGTCAACAAAAGTGACCACGGCCTGTCCTGCCTGAGCCTGCTTCTCGCTTTTTCACTCTCTGTGACTTCTACCCACTTGGCCGCGGCCATACTGGTCTCGCCTCACCAGGGGCACACAGTAGGTGCTTTACAAAAGGGCTGCTACATCTGAATGGGACATCACATGGGGCCTTTGTGAACTCAAGCCTCAGAGCTTCTGGAAGCCACCAAGGAATTTTGGAATCCTTTGTCAGTCCAATTCTAGGAGGTTAGTTAGGTAAATTTCCCATATTTGGAATTTCTAGGAGCAGCAGACTGTTGCTATTTCCTTGCCCCACTTGTGAAGGTTGCAATGGACACACTCAAGTGGAGAGCCCCAGAGGAAGGCTGCACTCTTCCCCGAGTTCCTAACTGCACACAGGTTGGCCTGTCGCTGCAGTCAGAGCCTGGGACCCCTTCCTTGTCACCCTCCTCCCCATGCACACCCACCACCCCCAAGTTCCTGGTCTGGGCCAGCTGCCTGCATGTGGACCCTCAGGGCACTGGCTGCACGCCTCTCCCCGGCATGCCTCTCCCCACTCTGTTCTAGAAGAGCTTGCTTCCTTGTCTTTCTTGCCAGTAAACTGTAGGACCAGTGATTTATGATTTGCTTCAACACATCTCTGTGCCAGAAGCATTGTTTTGCAACATGACACATACAAATTTAGTTCTGTTTCATAAAAATATAGTTTACAGTCCCCAATAATTGAAATTTAAGAAAGTCCTTTTTTTTCCCCCTTAGTTGCTGACACTTTCTACTCATCATAAAGATGACCATATATTTTTAAAACCTATTAGAGGCAGATTTCAATTTTCTCAACAAGCTGTCGGAGAAGCCAAGATTAAATCAAAAACATATCGAAATACTCAGTGACAGACCCCCAAGCTCAATGCAGAATCTTCAGCTGGTTTGTACATGACTACTTGCAAGAAAAGAGAATTGCAGCACAGTTGATGGTGCTCCATCTTTATGTCAATATAATTTCTCCCATGGTGTCATTTAGCTCTGCTCCCCATGATTCTGCTTAAGTAGGATTATAATACACATAAACATTGGGGTGTGGACAAAACCTGGACGTACAGACTGGCACGTCCACATGTGTGTGCATGGGGGTCCTCCCTGGTGGGGAGGACCGGAGTGGAGATGGGAAAAAGCCAGCATTAAGCAAAGTGTTATCCAAGGTGGGAAAAAAAAAAATCTATGGATTCACCATCAGTAGATTCATCTCATTTTCTTGTCATCATCGAAAGCAAAGTTAAGTATTTTTCAGGTTTATGATACTATAATCTAAAAGAAACTATTTACTAAAAATGCCATCTTTCTGTTATGTTTCATTGCACTAAAGTTTAGGTATAATGTTGGAATAAATTTGCAAAAAAATCCCAAAGCAATGCAGTATTAATAAAGTAAAAACTCTTTAATGAAACATAACTGAGGAATAAACCAAATTACCAACAGGAACAGGGCTCTGGAGGGGACTACCCCACTAAGAAAAATGACTGGAGTCTTGGAGGGCAGTTGGCGGGGCGGGGGGGGGGGGGGGGGTGCCACCAGCACCTCCTCTGGCAATGCCTCCCTGAAGCCGCTGGGGGGCGGGGGGGGGGGGGGTGCTGACAAGGGGAGGAGGCCTGCTGAGCACCTCTGGTGACCAGCCCTGGGTGTGGGTTTTCAGGCACTGCCCTCGCCAGCCCGCCGATCAGTCACTGCTTTAAAATGTTCCCCCCAGGCTGAAACAGAAAGAACTCACCAGCTTACAAACACAAATAATAAGATGGAATAAAATAAATAGATATAATCCTTCCTTAGGCAGCAAAATAGCCAGGACTTGAATCAAAAAGATCTCCAGGCTGTAATGACACCCCCGAGAGACAGACCATGCAGATGCCAGTCTGGGTCAGATCAGGGTGGAGCTCTGGAGTCAGCCAGCCTGGGCCTGAGCTGCAGTCACAGCTCAGTCCCTTGCTAGCGGGGGCCAGTTAAACTCCTCACCCTCCCTGGGCCTCCGCGGCCTCATCTATCAAGTGAGGATAATAACAGGACCTACTGCATGGTGTGAGGATTTGAGGGGAAAACACTGCAAGCACTTGGAGCTGTGTCTGGCACATACTAAACACTAGATAAACGGTAACTGCCCTGGTTACTGTTGTCACGTCTCTGCCCTTCCTTAACTCTGCAAACCAGGCATGTCTCCCCAGTTTAGGGGCCCAAGTTGTTTCATGTGTAAAGTAGGCAACAGTAAGACTTTATCATCTGGGATAGGAAGGAGGTGAAAGCAAGGCTGGGCCATCTCATCTCCTGAGGTTTATCTGAGATCTGAGACATAGTTATTTGGGGGAAAAAGTCTCTGTTCAGTCATTATTGAGGAAACGACCCCTGAGAGCATGATAAGAAGGCTCCCAGTTTGTTGTCACAGGAACCAAAGACTTAACAATGATGATTCAGTTTCCAAATACCATTATATTTCCAAACACAGCCCGAGGCTGTTTAGCATGAGATCAGTGCTTTCCTCAGCACAAACGCTACTGTTTGTCCCCAGTCCTGAATTAAAAGTTTATACTAATTGACATAGCCCCAGATCCAACGGGAATCCAGCAATATCTTTAGCTTAGAAACCATTTTGGCAAATTGAAGATCAGAGAGAAAACAGTTCAGTAGAAATAACTCAGATGGCAAATGTCTGACGTAGATATCTTCCCACTCACATTTCATTAGGCATTTAATTTAGTTTCTTGTTGTTGTCGTTTTTTAAAGATGGTACCAAGACTGTTGTTATACTTTCCCCTAAGTTTTCGGTACAAACAAAAGTTCTCAGAGCAGCCCACCCGTCTCCTGCCAGTCAGTTTAGATCCTTGGGATGTCAGGGAGCTGAACGTACCAGCTTCAGCTGTGTTGAATTTTTGACTAATCAATTCACTCCATTTCCAGAAGTGGTTGGTATAAGCACAGCGGACTCGGGCCACATATTCTGTGTCAGGCTCCAGTTCACTTAAGAGGTACTCACCATTCACCTTGATGGAAACATTGTTTTGCTTAATTAAAAAATAAAATAAAAAAAAAAGGGTGGGGGGAAGAAGAAGACAGAAGTATTGGTGAGCATTCATTGCAAAGCCAAATCACACAGAGTAAGACTTGATTTGGAGTAAGACTAGTTCTTTGAGAAAAAAAAAAATCTCTAAACTCTAAAAGTTTATGATTAATTTCCTGGACCTTTTAAACAGATGACCCATATCATTTGAACACACATAGAAATAAGAGTTTAAAGAGATTTCACTCACCAGTCTCTCTGTTTGGACACAAAGAAATTTTTGAAAATAGACAGTTAAACACTTACTTGTATCACTTTTCCTTCAGCAAGGAGTTCAAGCTGACATAAAAGTGTGGAATTGTTTCCAATGGAGTATACCTTCCAGGTCATGGTGGCATTTGTGGCACCAACGTTTTTAGGGAATAAGTTATAGGGAGTCATTGGATGAACTGCAAAAAAAAAAAAAAAGAAAAAAATGAAAAAAATTCAAGCACAGATCCAAACGGACTGGTAAATAGGCAGTTCATTTTTATATTGATTTGTTCAATAAGCATTTTTGTTTATTTCTGAGAAAATGACAAACAAAACCAGACTTGCAGCCAAGATGGAGTAAGCCAAGTATAGCCTTTTCTCTCACTGATTATATTAGAAACTCTGAACAAATATAAAAAGAAACTGAGGACTCTTAAAATTAAACAAAAGCAGGCAAGAATGTAGAGGGGAGTCAAAACTTGGAGAAGTGGCCCATCAAAGAGAATATAACAGAACCCAGAGTCTAACCAAAGTAACATTAACAGTGTCAAGGATACAATCCAAAATTATTAGACATACAAAACAAAACCAAAAAAGAGAATGTCACCAATTTTCGAGGAAAAAGACAATCAGCAGATGTCAACTTTGAGATCACCCATGCCTCAAGATGACTCCCTTAGAATGCTACAATTAGATAAAGAGTTTAAAACAGATCCATTAAGTAGAAGCAAATGCATCCAGGGACTTCCCTGGTGGCACAGCGGTTAAGAATCCGCCTGCCAATGCAGGGGACATGGGTTCGAGCTCTGGTCCAGGAAGATCCCACATGCCGTGGAACAGCTAACTAAGCCTGTACCCCACAACTACTGAGCCTGCGCTCTAGAGCCCACAAGCCACAACTACTGAAGCCCATGTGCCACAACTACTGAAGCCTGTGCGCCTACAGCCCGTGCTCCGCAACAAGAGAAGCCACCGCAATGAGAAGCCCACACACTGCAACGAAGAGGAGCCCCCGCTCGCCACAACTAGAGAAAAGCCCGTGCACGGCAACGAAAACCCAACGCAGCCAAAAATAAATAAATAAATAAATTTATTAAAAAACCAGAAAGTAACTGCATCTGTAATGAATAAAAGGAAAACACTTCTCAGCAGAGAAATAGAAACTATTTTTTTTTAAAAGAATTAAATGGAAATTTTAGAACTGAAAAATAGAATATCTGAAATAAAAAAACCTTCTACCTTACGCACTTCCACAGTTGCTATGTGACCTGGCCACTGCCTACCACTCCAATCTCCTTTCTCTCACGGGAAAGACACAAGGATATTCTTCCCTGCCTGAAACACCCAGAGCATGTTCCCACCTCAAGGCCTTTTCAAATCCTGTTCTTTTTTTTTTTTTGCGGTACGCGGGCCTCTCACTGTTGTGGCCTCTCCCGTTGCGGAGCACAGGCTCTGGACGCGCAGGCTCAGCGGCCATGGCGCATGGGCCCAGGCACTCCACGGCACGTGGGATCTTCCCGGACCGGGCCATGAACCCGTGTCCCCTGCATCGGCAGGCGAACTCTCAACCACTGCGCCACCAGGGAAGCCCTCAAATCCTGTTCTTTTGCTCCAAATGTTCTAGATGTTTTCTGCCTCCTCATCCTTCAGTGCCCTCATCCCGACTGAAGCAGCACCCCAGGCATTCTCTACCCCTCACCTGAATTTTATCTTCTTTCCAGGACTTAGCAATGCTTGAAATTATGTTATTAACTTGTTTACACATTTACTGTGTGTCTCCATGCCCCACTCTCAACCCTCTCTCCAAACACACACTAGCATGTACACACAATAGGGGCAGTCACTCAACTCTGTTCACTGCTGGATGCCCAGTGCCTGCTACATTGGTGGCACCCTGTAGTTAGGTGACTGAAGCGATCATTAAGTTGAAATCTAAATGAGGTGTAGAATTAAGAAGGCAAAGAAGTACGAGAATTCCAGAAAAAATGAACAACGTGTTTAAAGATGCTGCATTTCATAAAAGAGGCAGGGGTGTGGTCAAAACATAGAAAGAGATATTCAGGGTTGTGCAGATCAAAACCATTGCAAAATACCACTTAACATCCATTCAACTGACAAAAATGCAAAGGGTGACAAAACCAACTTGGAGAGAATATATTGGTACAACCACTTTGGAAGCGAATTTGGCATTATCTTGTAAGTTGAAGAACATTCACATATTCTGAGTCCTCACCAATTCCATTCTTAGGTATATAGGTATATACGCAAGAAAAACAACTACAACTCTAGGTGTGTACTGGATATGTATATCAAAATGCTCTTATTAACACTGTATCCAAGAGCATAAACCTTGAGACAATCTGAAAATCCACCAAAAGAGATGCATGAATAAAACACTGTATATTTATGCAATGAAATACTCTACAGCAGTGAAAATGGACCACAACACTCAATAATATGGGTAAATATCAGCAATTTAATATTGTATAAAAGCAATTACTAGCATTATTACACATAGCTTGATGTCTCATATACATTAAAACAAAATAAAAACAGTATTTTGGGGATTTCATAAGAAAATGAGAATACATACACATGCACACACATGATTTAAATCTGTTATCTTAGTGGAAGGAGCAGGCTTGGGGGGCTGTGGGATGGGAGATGAAGTAAGTTATTGTCAGATTTCTATTTTGAACTTGAGGTAAGCTCGGTGGTGTTTATTACATTATCAAAATAAACAAATAATGGGGAACAGAGGTCATGCACGCACCCATGAAGAGAACTGTGGCACAAACAAGTTATAAACTAAAACCTTCACTTAGGATGTGAATTAGGTGAAAATCTACGGCACATTTACCTGATCACACAGTGTGTCAAACAATGATATGCTCGTGACCACAGTGGGCTACACTCAAGTCTCACCTCGTTGGGTCAGGTTAAAAAGAATACTGACACTTCTTTTTCTTAAGTAGTTTTCAGCCAGGAGTGTGAAGTTATACGTTTCTTGTGAGTCTTGAGCCACTTGCCAATTACACCAGTTTCTGTGTTTACAAAGTGTCTTTTTTCCGGAAAATCTTAAAGAAAAAACAACAACAACAACAATACACAACAATTTCAGGGTTTACATTTTTGTCAACGCAGATATGTATCCCTGAATCCACTGAGTATCCCTGAGACACACTCAGTGGCTTTCAAACTATGTTCCACACAACAGCATCGATCTGTCACCAACAAATACCAATGACGAAAATATTGTTTCAAAAAATTTGACCTATGCGTTTAAATGTGTAATGATGAATTGCTGACTTCTCCTCTTGGGTGGTGAAAACTTTCCTTAGTTTACTTTGGATACTCTTAAAAAGGTAGAAATTAGGTAGACCTAGATCACCACATGGAACTATTTTCATATCAAGATTCACCATCAACGGCCTTTCTTATCATTTTTATGCTACGTTGTCCTTTAACAAAACTCAGGTAGAAAGTATTGTATACCTGAGACCACTTAAAGATTTCTTCCTGACCCTGGCAGGTGGTTTGAAAATATTTGTTCAAATTTTCTGTAACACTGTCGCAAGTACCTTAAACAAGGAAGAATCCGTCACTAATGTAACCAAAGCTCACTTACGATTCAAATAAAGTATAGCTTTGGGAAGGCTGTTTAGTCAAGCCAGTGTCGCTCCCGGGATCCCAAGTACAGGTCAAAGTCTTGAGGTCCTGGGTTTCACAAGAAAAGTCCTTGGGCTCTTCAAGCACTTCTGTCCGTACAAGGAAAAAACAGATGAAAGACCTAGCTGAAGCTCTTTATTGAAAGACAGGTGAAATGGAAAGTTCTCTTTGGGGTCTGAGGCCACAGAGTTGCTCTGAACAATGAAAAGATTACTTCAATCGGGGCCAACGCATCAGCAGCTCCAGAAAGGCACACTGCGGGTACCTCACCTCGGCCCCTACTCCTTCCTTCCCTGGTGCTTTGCTGGGGTATCACTGAGGATGGCAGGCGTGTACTGCATGTGGTCTGCACTCTGTCTACCTGATGAAAGTTGTAGCCCCAGTGCCTGCTAGCAGCATTCAACAGTACTGCTACATGCAGACAGAGTGAACAGAACAATGAATGAATGGGGTCAGCGTTGCTTGGTGTTTCACTGTAGATGCCCTGGCTTACAGGGAACCTGGGCTGTGCTTGGGATGCCGGGAAGCCAGATCTGGGGACCCTGCTAAACTCAGCAGCTGGAGGCTGAGAGTTCCAAGAAATGTACGGGCAGCCAAGTCCCCGAGGCACCGTAGTTCTTGGAGGCCACGCCAAGAGGCACAGGTGACCAAGCGTCTGGGAGATCAGAAACAGCCTTTGGCATGGCTGACGCAAAGCAGGGCATCTTCCCAGCGGTCCAGGTCATGACCTGAACTTTCTCCCGAACGCTCTTGCTTCCTAGGAATAAACTGTCAGTAAACTCAAGAAAACAACAGGAAAGCCGACAAGTATTGCTTCAGACTGTCTTTGCCAGAGTCTCTCCTAGAAGACTTGGGAAACAAAAGAAAATTGAGGCCACGAGTGGAAACGTTTCCTTGTCTTCTGGGAAAGGAAATTTGATCTATTCCACAGGAAATGGGAGGGGGGCACAGAGATGTGTACACTTACTTGAGACAAAGAGAACGATGCCTCCCAAAACACCTCCCTGGTCCACCTTACAGAAGACATTTGTCCCTTTTTTCCTAACAAAAGACACGTTCTTCAACTCGAATGCAGACACACTTCGATCAAGCTGTTCTCCATATATCTGTACACCTTCCAAATAACAGGATATGTTATCTTGATGGATCCTAGAAACGTAACAAATGGTGACGTTGGAGCCTTCTTCCACCAGCTTATCTTTAGGGAAAACAAACAATGGATCATGTCCAAGCAAATTCTGTGCTGCAAGATAAAAGAAGACAGCTCAGTTAGACTTGGACACAAAAGTCAAACCAGCCCCCTCCTGCCTCACTCTCAACAGATAACTTTAGCTTTTTCTGCCTCCTGGAGAAAACAGGAACCTAAAATTTCTACAGCAAATCTATAAACTTTGGTGTGTGCAAAACAATCCTCTGTACCATCACTCCTACTGTTGCGATAATACCACTGCTCTTGTTTTTACTATGGAGACTGCACCATGACTGTCGCTCTGTGGATGATCGTGTTATCCTGCTTATAGGTTATTAGGACAGCAGTAGCTGCTTTGTACTAATCCCAGCCGTGTGGGAGGCCCTGTGTTAAGTGCTTAATGTATATTCTCTCTTGTCATCCTTACCACCTTACAGCAACGGGGTGGGCAGGACTGAGCCCAAGTTCACTCACCCAGCAAGTGGCAAAGCCACACTCACACCCACCAGGTCTGCCCAGCTCCCAAGCCACGTGTCCCTCATAATCTCTAAATTGTCCTGTAGATCACTCCTCTTCCACTTTCTCAGATGCCAGTCACCCAAAGAGCTCCTTTCATTTCCATCTTCCATCTGTGTGGCCCATCAGCACATAAGAATCCTTAGGTCTCTGCCATTTTAGGCAAACTAACTGTCCTCCATGCCTCCCTCCAGCCTCCTCTCCACCCGCTCATCCACAGTCAGCCTCCCCCAGGACCTGCCTGTGCCCATCACTCAGCTGTCAATCACCCCCTGCTTACCTAGGCCCCTGCAGTCTGGCTGCTGGCCCACCAGGGCTCTAAAATTGCCATCACTAAGGTCACCCAAGTGGAGTGGCCTGGGTGTGGGATTTTGTTTTAAGGTCCCCAAGTGATTCTATGTGCAGCCATGGTTGAGAATCAGTGCTTTGGGGATTGGGAATAATCAGCCTTGAAAGAAATCAAAGAAGAACATGAAAAGATGGAAAGATATATCCTGTCTTGAATTGGAAGAATCAATATTGTCAAAGTGACTATACTACCCAAGGTAATCTACAATCCCTATCAAATTACCAATGACATTTTTCATAGAACTAGAACAAAAAATTTGTATGGAAACACGAAAGACCCCAAATAGCCAAAGCAATCTTGAGAAAGAAAAATGGAGCTGGAGGAATCAGGCTCCCTGACTTCAGACTGTACTACAAAGCTACAGTCATCAAAACAGTATGGTACTGGCACAAAAAACAGAAATATAGATCAATGGCAAGGGATAGAAAGCCCAGAGATAAACCCACACCTATGGTCACTCATTCTATGACAAAGGAGTTAAGAATATACAACAGAGAAAAGACAATCTTTTCTCTTCAATAAATGGTGCTGGGAAAACTGGAGAGCTACAGATAAGAAAATGAAATTAGAACATTCTCTAACACCATACACAAAAATAAGCTCAAAATGGATTAAAGACCTAAATGTGAGACCAGATACTATAAAACTCCTAGAGGGAAACATAGGCAAGACACGCTTTGACATAAATCATAGCACTATCTTTTTTGGTTTCACTCCTAGAGTAATGAAAATAAAAACAAAAATAAACAAGTGGTACCTAATTAAAGTTAAAAGCTTTTGCACAGCAAAGGAAACCATAAACAAAATGAAAAACAGCCCTCATAATGGGAGAAAATATTTGCAAATGAAGCAACCAACAAGGGATTAATTTCTAAAATATACAAACAGTTCATGCAGCTCAATATCAAAAAAACAAACAACCCAATCAAAAAATGGACAGAAGACCTAAATAGACATTTCTCCAAAGAAGACATACAGATGGCCCAAAAAGCACATGAAAAAATGCTCAATATCACTAATCATTTTAGAAATGCAAATCAAAATGACAATGAGGTATCACCTCACACTGGTCAGAATGGCCATCATCAAAAAGTCTACAAACAATAAATGCTGGAAAGGGTGTGGAGAAATAGGAACGTTCCTACATTGTTGGTGGGAATGTAAATTGGTGTAGCCACTATGGAGAACAGTATGGAAGTTCCTTAAAAAACTAAAAACAGAGCTACCATATGATCCTACAATCCCCCTCCTGGGCATATATCCAGAGAAAACCATAATTTGAGATACATGCACTCCAATGTTCATTGCAGCACTATTTACAATAGCCAGGATGTGGAAGTAACCTAAAAGTCCATTGACAGATAAATGGATAAAGAAGATGTGATCATATTTGCAATGGAATAGTACTCAGCCATAACAAAAGAATGAAATAATGCCATTTGTAGCAACATGGATGGACCTAGAGATTATCATACTGAGTAAGGTAAGCCAGACAGGGAAAGAAAAATAACATACGATAGCACATATATGTGGAATCTAAAAGAAAAAAAAAAGACACAAATGAATTTATTTCCAAAACAGAAAGAGACCCACAGATACAGAAAAAAAAAAACTTATGATTACCAAAGGGGAAAGGAGGGTGGGGGGAAGGGATAAATTAGGAGTTTGGAATTAACATATAAACACTACTATGTATAAAATAGATAACCAACAAGTACCTACTGTATAGCACAGGGAACTATACTCAATATTATGTAATAACCTATAAGGGAAAAAAATCTGAAAAAAAAAAAAGTATAACTGAATCACTGTGCTGTACACCCAAAACCTACAGGATATTGTAAATCAACTATACTTCAATAAAAAAAAATTTTTAAAGGAATAATCAGTTTTTCTATCAATTCTTGAGTTAGTTTGGAGGTTACAGTTTTGATAAACCTAGTCCACTGTATGAAAGTTGTTGATAGTGTTGTTCTTTCTTTCTCTATTGCTACCTTTTTAATCTCTATTTTTTCTGTTAAGTATGTCTCTCAGCAATAGGATGTGATGGTTAAGAGAATGGCCTTTGGAGCCAGATTGTCCAGGTTAGAATTCTGGCTCTACCACTTCGTGGCCTGATGACCCTGCATGGGATTTTTTTTTTTTCTCGGTACGCTGCGGAGCACAGGTTCCGGACGCGCAGGCTCAGCGGCCATGGCTCACGGGCCCAGCCGCTCCGCGGCATGCGGGATCCTCCCGGACCGGGGCACGAACCCGCGTCCCCTGCACCGGCAGGCGGACTCTCAACCACTGCGCCACCAGGGAAGCCCTGCATGGGATTTTTTTAAAGCTATCTGTGCCTCAGTCTCCTCATCTGTGAAGTAGGGATAAGAATTATATGTATTTCATAGGGCTGATGTGAAGATGAAATTAATACATATAGTGCTGAAAGCAGTGACTAGAATGCAGATTTGATTCTATTATTAGTATTAAATTAATCATTGGGCCTCTCATGAGTTAACATGCTATCAGTTTGAATTAATAAATTTGCATAAACTCTTAGCTAAGGAATGGTTCTCTTGACAGGAATTTCAGATAATCTGTCAACGTATATAGTTGAGAGCACCAAATGCCAGTGCTTTACAACTAACCTATAGCTTAGCTGAAGCATAAGAAATTGTGCAAAATGCTAAATTTTAATAACAAAATAATCAAAATTAAGATATATTTTAATAATTAAACATAATTATCCATGATCTCTCTCATAATTATCCATGATCTCAAATGAAGAACTGCTTCCAGTTTTCCATATTTCCCTCCCTTGTCTCTACATTAGGGGTTGACAAGCTATGGCCCATGGGCCAATTCCAGACTCCATCTGTTTTTGTAAATAAAGTTTTATTGGAACAAAACCACTCATTTATTTACACTCTGCCTATGACTGCTCCCATGCTACAATGGCAGAGTTGAATAGTCACGATAGAGAATGTAGGGTTGTAAAACCTAAAGTATTTCCTATCTTGCCCTTTACAGAAAAAGCTTCCCAAATTCTGCTCTAGATGAATACACATTTTGTGTTGTTCTAATAAAAACATATGTACAATTTATGTCCTGCTTTGTTCACTTAGCATTCTATAATATACACACTTCACACCTATGGAAAAGGAATACTAAATTGTCTGAATTTGCATAATTACCTCAATGAATAAATTCAGAGGGAAAATCCTTAGACCTCTGTCTCCTGGTGGCAAGTTTCACACCTATGCTTTTTAGACCCAATAGGAGCCAAAGAAAAATAATGCTGGTGTCTACCCAGAGTTTCTCAACAGGGACTTCCACTATTTGACTACTGGTCCCCAAGAAATATTAGATAGTAAACCCCTTCATTCTTTTATCACCTCACTTCTTACCATCTGCTTCTTCCCATGAACTCCAGTTGCTCCAGAACCCTGGCTTGGGAATCCTGGCGTCATCCACCATACTCCTCATTCTTATAAAGTGTGCTGCGCATTCCAGAGGGAGCTTGGATTCCCAGCTCCAATGCAGGACTTGGTTCCGCTTCACAGTGGTGCTGTAGTTCTCCTAGAAATAAAGAGAAAAACTTGGAAACATATAGCCATGTGGTCCTGGGAAATGGCTTGGCTGGACTTATCCCAAAGCACACACCTAAGAGTCCACTGTAACTCCAGGATATGGACAAATGCAGTCTGTTCCCAGCCAGCCAGCTTCCGAGCTCTGACGGCCCAGAAAGGAACCAGCCTTGGCCTCCTGCCTTCTGAAAACTTGGCTCCCAAACCCTCTGGGCCTCCAATTCCAGAGGGCTCAAGTGAGAGGGAAAACAGAAGCTATTGGAGTCTTGGGGCAAAAGATCAGAGAAAGAAGGTGTGCACACAGTGCTGGTCACAAGAGCGTGCTAAGAAGATTCCTGCACACTAGAGAATTAATTGAGGCACCCTTTTAAAAATAAGGAAGATTGATGAGAATTTTCTAATATTCATCAGATCAAGTTGGCCAAATCTCTGTAAAGCTGGCAGTCCTTCATGGTTCCCAGGAATTCCACTGTCTCCCAGAAGTCAATAGATGGCTCCCAATGATTGCTTTGGTTTTTGTCTCTTGTCTTTTCAGATATAGTGGCCACATGGACCATCCCCCCTCCCTTGAGCTCCAACCTTCAGAATCTTTAGTTCCCAGAGATGTCAACCACATGGGAACGCCCTACACTGTGCTCTTGGGAAGCTTGTCCAAGTTGTACTGTAATTTGTTTTTCCCGCATAGCGTTTAGTCTTAATCTTTCTTAGACAGTGGTATTTTCATTCTTTAACGCAATAAACTTCAACAGCTCCTTCTAACCTGACCCTGTCGTCCAAGGCCATTTACAGTATGACTCCAACTGCCCCTCCCTTGCAGGACTCCTGTCTCCAGACACAGTGGTCCGCCCCACACTTCGGGAAGAGCTGCATGCTTTACTCCTCAATACTAGCTCACGTGGCGTTCCTGGTTTCGCGTCCCCAACTCTCCCTCTGAGTTGGGAATTAGTCCCAACCTTCAAGCCCCTGTTATACCCCATCTTCTTCATGAAGTCTTTCTTGCTTTCCTCTGGTTTCCTCCCATCCCCACCTCTGCCCGAGCTCCCCTGCATACTGGGGGTAGCTGGTGGCATTTCATCTGTGGTTATGCCTCTGACTCAAGTATGGCACCCAGAAAGCGGGGACTGGGCTTCATTCTTCTTTGTGGACCATAGCTCCAGGCACCCATGCTTTCAGTGGGCCCCTCCAGGATGCCTGCTTTCTGCACCCACAGCTGGGAGACAGGGACAACAAAAACCTTGCCCTTCCTGGGGAAAACTGAGTCTGCATCCATTTTTCTAAGGGCCAATGGCAAGTCCTACAGTGAAGACGAGGGAGGCGGCACACACGTCACACGCAACCAGACTCGGAGGCCTTCCTCCACCTGTGCCTTCCCCTCCCCAGGCCGCCAACCTTAAACAGTGGCCTTGGCCGAACCAAACACAGCCCCGGAAGGAGAAGCACTTCGTCCACCTGAAAGGCATCTAGTCATGCACATCCTTTCTCACGCTAAGCAGAATTCTCATTTGTAAAACATTTATATTATTTCGGTTTATTGTATTCCTTTATCCCTAGATTACAAAACATACATTTTTTTTTTTTTTTTTTTTTTTTTTTTTTTGGTA